TGGCTTCCGTTTGGAAATTAATGCATTTTTGACATAGCTATGCGTTTTTTAAGCTTTGGTATATACCAAAAATTGTCTTAAAAATAAAAATAAATATTTATCAAAAATGGGAATAAAAGGGTATTATCATTTCAGTCTGAAGCTTGAACCGCTGTGAAGGAGTCATTTCCGACCCTATAAACCATATATATTCTTGATCAGCACAAACAGGCGAATCTTTCTGGGTATAAAAAAGAGAAACAAATTTTTTGGCCATTTTTAAAGAAAAATATAAGGGGTTACATCGTTAAAATTTGCAAAAATTGATAATAATTCCAATTTTTTCACATTTTAAACTAAGTATGCAGATTTGTTAACCTACTTAAAACTAGCACAGAACTGGCTTCAGTTTGGAAATTAATGCATTTTTGACATAGCTATGCGTTTTTAAGCTTTGGTATATACCAAAAATTGTCTTAAAAATAAAAATAAATATTTATCAAAAATGGGAATAAAAAGGGTATTATCATTTCAGTCTGAAGCTTGAAACGCTGTGAAGGAGTCATTTCCGACCCTATAAACCATATATATTCTTGATCAGCACAAACAGGCGAATCTTTCTGGGTATAAAAAAGAGAAACAAATTTTTTGGCCATTTTTAAAGAAAAATATAAGGGGTTGCATCGTTAAAATTTGCAAAAATTAATAATAATTCCAATTTTTCACATTTTAAACTAAGTATGCAGATTTGTTAACCTACTCAAAACTAGCACAGAACTGGCTTCCGTTTGGAAATTAATGCATTTTTGACATAGCTATGACATAGCTTTAAAAATAAAAATAAATATTTATCAAAAATGGGAATAAAAAGGGTATTATCATTTCAGTCTGAAGCTTGAAACGCTGTGAAGGAGTCATTTCCGACCCTATAAACCATATATATTCTTGATCAGCACAAACAGGCGAATCTTTCTGGGTATAAAAAAGAGAAACAAATTTTTTGGCCATTTTAAAGAAAAATATAAGGGGTTGCATCGTTAAAATTTGCAAAAATTAATAATAATTCTAATTTTTTCACATTTTAAACTAAGTATGCAGATTTGTTAACCTACTTAAAACTAGCACAGAACTGGCTTCAGTTTGGAAATTAATGCATTTTTGACAGGCGAATCTTTCTGGGTATAAAAAAGAGAAACAAATTTTTGGCCATTTTTAAAGAAAAATATAAAAATATCGTTAAAATTTGCAAAAATTGATAATAATTCCAATTTTTTCACATTTTAAACTAAGTATGCAGATTTGTTAACCTACTTAAAACTAGCACAGAACTGGCTTCCGTTTGGAAATTAATGCATTTTTGACATAGCTATGCGTTTTTTAAGCTTTGGTATATACCAAAAATTGTCTTAAAAATAAAAATAAATATTTATCAAAAATGGGAATAAAAAGGGTATTATCATTTCAGTCTGAAGCTTGAAACGCTGTGAAGGAGTCATTTCCGACCCTATAAACCATATATATTCTTGATCAGCACAAACAGGCGAATCTTTCTGGGTATAAAAAAGAGAAACAAATTTTTTGGCCATTTTTAAAGAAAAATATAAGGGGTTACATCGTTAAAATTTGCAAAAATTGATAATAATTCCAATTTTTTCACATTTTAAACTAAGTATGCAGATTTGTTAACCTACTTAAAACTAGCACAGAACTGGCTTCAGTTTGGAAATTAATGCATTTTTGACATAGCTATGCGTTTTTTAAGCTTTGGTATATACCAAAAATTGTCTTAAAAATAAAAATAAATATTTATCAAAAATGGGAATAAAAAGGGTATTATCATTTCAGTCTGAAGCTTGAAACGCTGTGAAGGAGTCATTTCCGACCCTATAAACCATATATATTCTTGATCAGCACAAACAGGCGAATCTTTCTGGGTATAAAAAGAGAAACAAATTTTTTGGCCATTTTTAAAGAAAAATATAAGGGGTTGCATCGTTAAAATTTGCAAAAATTAATAATAATTCCAATTTTTTCACATTTTAAACTAAGTATGCAGATTTGTTAACCTACTCAAAACTAGCACAGAACTGGCTTCCGTTTGGAAATTAATGCATTTTTGACATAGCTATGACATAGCTTTAAAAATAAAAATAAATATTTATCAAAAATGGGAATAAAAGGGTATTATCATTTCAGTCTGAAGCTTGAAACGCTGTGAAGGAGTCATTTCCGACCCTATAAACCATATATATTCTTGATCAGCACAAACAGGCGAATCTTTCTGGGTATAAAAAGAGAAACAAATTTTTTGGCCATTTTTAAAGAAAAATATAAGGGGTTGCATCGTTAAAATTTCAAAAATTAATAATAATTCTAATTTTTTCACATTTTAAACTAAGTATGCAGATTTGTTAACCTACTTAAAACTAGCACAGAACTGGCTTCAGTTTGGAAATTAATGCATTTTTGACAGGCGAATCTTTCTGGGTATAAAAAAGAGAAACAAATTTTTTGGCCATTTTTAAAGAAAAATATAAAAATATCGTTAAAATTTGCAAAAATTGATAATAATTCCAATTTTTTCACATTTTAAACTAAGTATGCAGATTTGTTAACCTACTTAAAACTAGCACAGAACTGGCTTCCGTTTGGAAATTAATGCATTTTTGACATAGCTATGCGTTTTTTAAGCTTTGGTATATACCAAAAATTGTCTTAAAAATAAAAATAAATATTTATCAAAAATGGGAATAAAAGGGTATTATCATTTCAGTCTGAAGCTTGAAACGCTGTGAAGGAGTCATTTCCGACCCTATAAACCATATATATTCTTGATCAGCACAAACAGGCGAATCTTTCTGGGTATAAAAAAGAGAAACAAATTTTTTGGCCATTTTTAAAGAAAAATATAAGGGGTTACATCGTTAAAATTTGCAAAAATTGATAATAATTCCAATTTTTTCACATTTTAAACTAAGTATGCAGATTTGTTAACCTACTTAAAACTAGCACAGAACTGGCTTCAGTTTGGAAATTAATGCATTTTTGACATAGCTATGCGTTTTTTAAGCTTTGGTATATACCAAAAATTGTCTTAAAAATAAAAATAAATATTTATCAAAAATGGGAATAAAAAGGGTATTATCATTTCAGTCTGAAGCTTGAAACGCTGTGAAGGAGTCATTTCCGACCCTATAAACCATATATATTCTTGATCAGCACAAACAGGCGAATCTTTCTGGGTATAAAAAAGAGAAACAAATTTTTTGGCCATTTTTAAAGAAAAATATAAGGGGTTGCATCGTTAAAATTTGCAAAAATTAATAATAATTCTAATTTTTTCACATTTTAAACTAAGTATTTATCAAAATATTGATCAAAAGTGGGAATAAAAAGGGTATTATCATTTCAGTGTGAAGCTGGAAACATTGTTTTAAACTAAGTATGCAGATTTATTAACCAAAGAATTGCCCAGAAAAAAGGTAAACAAAGGCAGCAGCTTTCCAACTGTTAAAATTGACACCCCAAGAGAGGATCGTACTCTTAAGTTGCTCTCTCGCTCTTAGCTTCCACTTGCCAGAGCGAGCACCACCAAGGCCAGTAACGGCACTTGCTACAAATACAAAAGCCAGGACAAGAGACAAAAAAAATATGCGCGGGCGAATAAACGATTGACGAGAAAAAAGGCAAAAAGAAAATAGTGTTGTTTCACTCACTCGGCTGCACGGCGTGTAGCTGCAGATCCCAACGGTGAATTAGCGAACGAAGGCACACACAAAAATGAGAATAAAACTTTCCACGCCATCATTTCTCATGGCTGCAGATCGAATTAGCAAACGAAGACGCACACACAAAAGTGCAAAAAACACCTTGCACACTCCAATTTTTCGCACTTGATCTAAAACGCACTGATTTTAGCTTTGTGTATACACCGTCATCTTGAAATGCACTCATATGTGTGTGTGTGTAGGTGGTTTGGCTTAGGGACCACAAAATATAACACGGCAGCGGCTCGGCTTTAGTTTTGGTGTTTTTCCGGCCTTGCCTCCACTTCACCAACACTTTTCACTGCCGGGGCTCACTGTTTTTCACACCTGCCACTTTTTTTCCGCCGTAACTTGCCCGGATTTCCTATTTTTCACCGATCTCCATGCGGAGCGACGTTTTCGCGTCCGTTCCCTTCGTCCGTTTTGTTAACAATATCCTGGAATTTAACATGCCCATGTTAAGATTAACATTTTACACATGTACAGAACAATTTACACGTTTATAGATACATCGTGTAGAAATATCGCTTTTGGAGTATAATTCTCATACATGGCGCCACATTCGCATGTATAAAGTAAAATAAATGTACAGATCTGCTGTAATACCAGCTGTTCAGCTTCCAAAAAAAGCTTCAAATTTCAATCTGGGGAGCGCGCCAGTTTGAATTTTTGAATTGTATTTATAAATACTAAAATACATGGCGCCACATTCGCATGTAGAAAGTAAAATAAATGTACAGATCTGCTGTAATATCAGCTGTTCAGCTTCCAAAAAAAGCTTCCAGTTTCAATCTGGGGAGCGCGCCAGTTTGAATTTTTGAATTGTATTTATAAATACTTAAATACGAGTATTTATTGTTTTAATATATTACAGAGATCGCAATTTCCTCTAGGGGACAGTCGATCCTCCGGATGTCAGACATCCTCTTTATTTGTTTTGATTTAAAAGCTAAAATAAACTAAATAAAATGCTATTCTTTTACTTTACGAAATCTGAGATTGTATTGTTGCGGATCTTTAAGTATAAAATTAGTACCGTGCTGATGCATTTACAAAATACACAACACCAGATGGATCCCGCATTTCCGGTGGAACTCTTCATGAGGAGACAATGCAATACGATACACCATACTATACTTTCTGGAAGATCTGGATTAATCTCTGGAAACGTGTCGTAATCCTGCAGGACCAGCTAGGAGCAGCTCTGGCAGAGATGGAAAGGCATTCCCGAGGAGGAGTCCATGAGGTGGAGTGGACGAAGGAGCAGCTCCTACTTCTGTTACCTTTTTAGGCTTCTTCCTTGGATACTGGACGTCATGATCTTCGTTATAAAGGCGACTTTTCTTGTTGCTCTGCTGGGGCTCGATGCATTTACAAAATACACAACACCAGATTGATCCCGCATTTCCGGTGGAAACTATTCAAAAGTAGACAATGCATCACAATACAACAATTTATCTGCAGGACGAGCAGCTGTCGCCTTGAGGTCGAGTGGAAGGAGCAGCTCCTACTTTTGCTCCTTTTTCTTATTCTTCTTCATGGGATATATCCGTATGTATGAAGACGGACACTGGAAGTCTTCATAATCTTCGGGATCAAGGCCAACTGTTTCGTCGGCCTCCTCGGGCTTGACAACCTTTGGTACGAGCTTAATAAAGCTTATCTGGTCTCCGCAGACGCGACATTTTGGCTTGGAGGTACTGGGCCTTAAACACGTAGACTTATGCATGATTTCTAGAAGGAATTTGGAAATTACTGATAGTAAGTTTTTATAAATAAGACATTGAATTTCAGTTTAAATAGACACACCTCTGAACTTTTTGGATATTTGTTGAATTTTAAAAAAGTTGGAAAACCTTTTTTCTTGGGATACAAGTAATTTAAAAATATTTACTAAAGGTCTTACTGGTACGACGATTGGAATTGTACTGAAAATTATTAGGAGCAGGGTTTGGTAGCTAGACTTTTGGTTTGACACAAGGAGTTCAAGGCTGACTAGATTTAAGTATAAAATCACAATAAGGTTACTAGGCATAACTTAAATAATAAATAAATACCCAAACTAGAGGAAAAATTATAAGCGAAAGCCCAAAAGTATTCCAGGAATCGTGGTCTTAGTTTTCCTCTTAAGAACCAATAGCTTTAGCTCAGACAGAAAATATTTAAATATGTGCTATTTAAAAGATATTGTCTCTTAGTTTAATATTAATTTTATATAATTTATGATATAAATACTTGATACGTAATACCTAATACTTAATTAACTTTAACTTACCTCGGTGGAAATCAAATCAAATGCAAACTGCAAGGCCAAAGATAAGCTCGGCATGAACGGCGACCTAGAAAATAGTTGTGAGGCTGATAACAACAATGCATTTTATTTATATTAAATACTATATATTAATGTTTAACCCCTTTCAACCCGTAACTTGAACTTGAACTCACAGATTGCACATTTCAATTTAACTTTTACGATGACAGTGATTAATTCAGATTAACAGGTGCAGTCCGACTTTTGCTAATTTCCGTATAGTTAATTAGCTTAATCAGCTCTCAAAAGTTGCTGAACTTTGAGCGAAACAAAGCGGCGACTATATAGACACTGTAAAACTATTCCCTTGGTTTGTTGCCTCTTTTATAATGCATTTCATGGATAAGATAACCAAGGTGGAAAGGTAACAAGTTGTAAATTAAAAGAATTCTGTTTAGCTGTTACTTTTTGGTTCGTGATTCTTATTCATAATTTAAAAGTTGAAAATCCGTGCTTTAAGTGCAGTAAATTCTTTGTTTATATATTGGTTTATCTGTTGTTTATATGACACACGTTCTATGTGGGTCAACGTCATTGCTCTGATCGCTTGCACTTGTTGTGGTTGTCATAGAACCCGTTTTTGGGTCTGGCACTGCACTGAGGTAATGATATAGCCCCCATTGGAGGCCCAATTTGGAGAGTGATTCGCTACACTCGATCCACTGGGTATATGCACAATCAAAACTAAAACTATAAGCATGAGATTAAATAGTTTATAAAGTCAGGAAATGGACTGCAATTAAATTCTTTTAGAAGATTCTTTAAATTATCTCAGGTGATTATAGAGGCAAGTGTAAGAAGAATTGTTAAGAAATTTTGGCTTTATTTTGTTGATAAGATCAAGAATTAGGGCTAGTTTGTTTTCGGCACAATCTCTATGTTCGAGGTCTTGGAATATTTTTCCTCTTGTTTATGACCCAAAATCGTGTAGTTATATTCATATTTCTAGCCCGTAATCAGTTCTGTCTACGCAATAAGTTTACCATTAATATAGGTACTACGTAGAAGACATTACAAAGAGCATAATAGCCCAGGGGAGTCGCATCTTGGACTGGAATTCTGGGGGAAGTGGCGACCCCAAGCGGAGGGCATCCCGGGTATCGTTATCAGTCCAATCCAGTCCACCATCTGCCCAGCTCTCAGCCCCTCGACCCCCCCGCTGAGATCGAGGAGGAGAGCTGGCTGGTCGACAGCGAATTAGTTGCAAACGAGACGGAAAGCCGAGTGGTTCGCAATAACTAGACACCGCTTCATAAATATCACACTCCCACGAATCACTCAGCGAGTTGTATTATCACTAAGCCCCTCAAGTTACACTCGAAGTCGGAGATTGGAGATCCTTTCCTGCAATGAGCACCCTGGCATTGCTGGCCTTTGTCCTTTGGGCCTTATTTCTGCGCTATTTGCCGCAGATCCTTAACTTTTTGCGGCTCCAAAGATTCGCCAAGACGCTGCCAGGACCTTCGGTGGGCGAACTAATAGCGAATGTCAAAAAGGGTGGTAAGTAAATACTTGATTAAAGCCCTTTACAATTATTTTAAAGTTCTTAATATAATAAATACTATATATAAATGAACAACAAAAGCATCTGAATGCCATAAAATCAAGTGAAATATCACGTATACGCAGCATTGGCTGCATTTGCATTTACTTAGTAATGCAGTTGGACTTTGAACTTATTGTTTTCTATATATTTTTACTGATACTATTTCGTAATAAATTCTGTCATATTTACAAACCAAAAGTTTAAAGATTAAAGTCAATTCCAGTATTCATTTTTAGGAAAATAAAAGCGTAATTGTTCGCTTACAAGAGAAGGTTTAAATTTATATATTTAAGGTTATTACAAAATACTTATCTAATAAATAATGACTTATTCCAAGTAACTAACATCTTACTTACCCCATTCAGAGATCCTCAACTGGCTGAAGGAGCTGAGGGAGCGACATGGCTCTGTTTTTCGCATTTGGTTCGGCAAGGACCTAATGGTCATGTTCACCGATCCGGAGGACATCAAACAGCTGCTGGGCAACAACACGCTCCTGTCCAAGTCCAAGAACTACGAGCTCCTGGAGCCCTGGCTGGGCAAGGGTCTGCTGACCAATGGCGGTGAGTCCTGGCATCGTCGCCGCAAGCTCCTGACGCCGGGCTTCCATTTCCGCATCCTTGGGGAGTTCAAGGAGCCCATGGAGGAGAACTGCCGCATTCTGGTGCGTCGCCTCAGGGAGAAGGCCAACGGGGAGTCCTTTGACATTTATCCCTACATCACCCTCTTCGCCCTGGATGCCATCTGTGAGACGGCCATGGGCATCAAGAAGCATGCCCAGCTCCAGAGTGATTCCGAGTACGTTCGGGCGGTGCAAAAGTGAGTACATACAGAATATAAATGTATTTAAATAATTACAAAGTATATATGATATCCTTTGCAGGATCTGCCGCGTAATGCACAAGCAAAGCTTCTCGTTCTGGCAGCGCTTGAACATCTTCTTCCGGCACACCAAGCCGGGCAAGGAGCGCGAGGCCGCTCTGAAGGTGCTCCATGACGAGACGAACCGTGTCATCCGGCTGCGCAGGGAGCAGCTCATCCAGGAGCGCGCCGAATCCCGGCCAGAGGCCGAGCAGGACGATGTGGGCGGCAAGCGGCGATTGGCCTTCCTGGACATGCTTCTCCTGAGTCAAATGGAGGGCGGGGCCGAGCTGAGCGACACCGATATCCGCGAGGAGGTCGACACCTTCATGTTCGAGGGCCACGACACCACCAGCTCGGCGATTGCCTTCACCCTCAGTCTGCTGTCCAAGCACGAGGCCATCCAGCAGCGGGCCTTCGAGGAGGTCGCCGAGCTGGAGGGCAGGGAGAAGGAGCCGATGCCCTACTTGGAGGCGGTGATCAAGGAGGCGCTGCGCATCTACCCCTCGGTGCCGTTCTTCTCCCGCAAGGTCATGGAGGATCTGCCCGTGGGCAAGCTGACGGTGCCGAAGGGTGCCTCCGTGTCCTGCCTCATCTACATGCTGCACCGGGATCCCGCCAACTTTCCGGATCCGGAGCGCTTCGATCCGGAGCGTTTCCTGCTCAACGAGAAGCAAATGCATCCGTTTGCCTTTGCCGCCTTCAGTGCGGGTCCCAGGAACTGCATAGGTAAGAATCGAAATATATATTCTAATCTTCATATTCATTTTCAGATAGAGGTATAGTTCTTGAGACCTTTAAAATTCCTTAGATTAACTCTTGGGCTATTTATAAATATTTATTTATTTGGCATTTAATCTCAAGTTTGTTTTGTTTCCGAAAATAGCCAGCGGAATTTTTAGAGCAATTTGTCAAACCCCAAAGTGCGATTCATGTTATTGAATGAATTAATATATATATTTATATATTTATTCACAGACTACAGTCCAATTATCTGTATAAAAATGATAAGAGAAGCTGGAAGCTCTTCATAGACAGATTCCTAAGGTCTTTGGGTTGTCACCTTGACAGTTTGCATTCATGATTGTGGGAAATATATTGATAGGAAGAGCAAAAAGCTAGGGCTTTCATATTCTGAACTCCTAATACAACAAATTCCTAAACTTTCAAGGATTTCTTGTAAAGAAATTCCAGCATAATACTTTATTAAAGATTAGGGAAATTAAGCTGTCACTTACCTTAATTGCATTGTACTCCCTTTCATTAATAATTGTTTTTCTTTTGTGATTTTTTTGTGATTTTTCCAGGTCAAAAGTTTGCTATGCTGGAACTGAAGACCTCTCTGTCCATGCTGCTGCGAAGCTATCGATTCCTCCCAGACGAGAGTCATCATCCTCTGCCCCTGGCCGAGTTGGTGACGAAGAGCGGCAATGGAATTAGACTTCGAATTGTGCCACGGGACTAGATGTATAATATTTTTTATATATATTTTTTTTATTATAAATAATACTTTCGCTCATTCATTTCATTTCTAGCAAGCAGGTCTTAGCATTTTGTATAAAACATATTTTGCCTAGCTTTATATTCTTTTGTTTCATAGAATGGAAAGATCTGAAGAGTTCTGTAATTATTAATACGAGAAAAACCCATTTGCTGATCTGTATATTTTATTATTATTACTATTATCGGCTGAAATTGTGACGCATTTAGCGACTATGTCAGTAGGTTATCAGTTATTGGACCCCCAGCATAACGACCTTGGACTTACCCACTGGCAAAGGGGGGAAGGTAAAGATTACACAACAAACGAAAGTGTTTTTTGTTCTGTTTATTTCGCTTTGAACTTTGAAAAATACATTCGATCATATACATATATACACGATTAGAGGTATATATATGTTATGTGCATGTATGTATATAGGTGCTGGGCTTTATTCAATATTTATTGATTTATTTATTTGTTTATCAGTATTTGTTGTTAACATCCAGAACCATCAAACAAAAAAATATAGTAGTTACATATATATAGTATGTATATGTATATGTATATGCACTTGTATATATATATTGTGTGTGTATCTCTCTAGAAACTACAAACCCACAAAAACAGACACACACTTATTGCATTACCCTTTCCCAAGAGTCCTCGATTATATGGTGTAGCCTCTCGATTTGTCGGTCCTTCGTCCTTGTGGTGGTGTTCCCTGATCCTTAATTCCTTAAACTGGCCTCCCCTCTGTCCTCCCCCTTGATTTGTTGTTAGTAGAACTAGTTAAATTCCTTTACCATAAATATATAGTATGTGTATATATAGTTTAAATATTTGTTTTGTTCCGGGTTGCGATCGTAGCTGATGATTGGTAGTTATAAGTATATCCTCTGTCTCATCTTTATATAGTATACTAATCCCTAACTAGATTGCCTTCAATTTCCGTTTTGTTCTTGTTGTTTTGGGTGTGTTATGTGCCAATCTTTACAATACAATATACATATATGTAGGTCTATATAGGTAAGTTTATAAGCGAGTTCCTCTTTCTTTTGTTTTTGGCCTTTTCCGCCTTAAAGCTTAGCAGGAAACAATTCGTCTAGGGCTTAGTTAGTGGCGGCTAATGATATGATTTGGCTACAATAAGGTTCAGTAAATACAGCTCAAATACATTGAATACTTTTATGCACACATATATATAAATTATATATATATCTAGATATATATAGCGCATAATTGGGGGCATAGAGCGGCGCTTTCGGGGATCCCTGTGAAGGAGAGGGAATACTGTAAGTTTGGCTTTAACTTTTGGGGGATTCTTTGCTACGTTTATACTTGGTATTTAACAAATATTACTCCTTAATGCAAGTAAGCAATATAAACAAAACAGGTTTTAAAATAGTTAGTTTGTATGACTATTTCACATGGCTTTGAAATAGTTTGTTTGTGGTTCTAATTTGGTTTATTAAATGTTATAAACAATATTTAAATCTTATTTAATGCCAAAACTTTGATTTAAGCACTGTATAAACGTAGTAAAGGGGGGACTTTATCAACGATTTCCTTTACAGGGAAGTACCGGAAAACCCCGCCTAGTGGCTCTTTAGATCCTAAACTTAACTCGAACGAAACGCTGCTGCTGCTCCTCCTCCTCCCAGGCTGCTTCTCCTGGCAACGGCTGGCCGGGATCACAGCCACGGAATGCAAATGGTGCGGCACACATCCCGCCGATGCGGATGGGGATGTGGCTCCTCGCCCATCTGACCGCCACCGCCGCCGCCGATATCCGATGGGGCGCCCGCTGCACCAGTGCCTGCTCCTCCTCCACCTCTTCCTCCACCTGCTTCTCCTCCTCCTCCTCCTCCTCCTCCTCCTCCGCCAAACTTAAAGAACGAACTCCTTCGTCAGTGCTTGCGATGGGTCTGCGGTGAAGCGCTGGCAATGGAGCCCGATGCCGATCCGGAGCCGGAACTGGAGCCGGAAAGGGAACCGGACCCGGACCCGGAGCCGGATCCATAGCCGGGCTCAGTCTCCGGCATGGACTGCAGCACAGCGGCGACGCTGCCATGGCTAGCGCGCTGCTGCGACTGCGGATGACTGCCGGAATGACCGCCGGAATGACCGCCGGAATGACTGCTGGGATGACTTTGGAGATGACTGGAGGCGGTCGCTGCCGTCAGGGTGGAGGCTCTGGCCAGGCCACTGTGCCGCTTGGGTATCACAAACGGCGGCGGCGGCTGCGGTGTGTATTGCGGCGGCGTGGAGTTGGCCGACGCCTGGCGCACAAAGGAGCGGGCCGCCGGCACAGAGCCGCTCCTGGCAATGGCTCCCGTCCGCGGCGGTATGGCCGGTGGCGGTCCCGGCGGCGGTCCACTGCGTACCTTTGGCGGTGGTGAACTGATCGAGGCCAGGCTCTCCGTGGAAGGTTGCGAGGGTACGCGTGGCGGCAGTTGCGGCAGTTTTCCGGAAGCGGCAGCGGAAACGGAAGTCGAAGCAGGAGCAATGGCCGCTTCCGTTGCAGTTGCAGACGATGGAGGAGCCGTCGTCACATGGACGGGCATCCTGGCCTGCGGCTGCACCGTGGACATGGTTATGGTGGGCTTCTGCATGGGCACCGTGTGACGGATGGAAATGCTGCCCGCCTGGCTCTTGCCGCTCATCCGGGCTGGAGCGGGAGCGGGAACGGGAGTGGGAGCAGGAACAGGAGCAGGAGCAGGTGCTGTTCCTGTTCCTGGCTGTTGCTGATGCGTAGGGTGGGGCGACTCCTTGGGCTCCTTGTGCTGATCCTTCTGCTGCTGCTGCTGTTGGTGCTTCTGCTTCTGCTGGGCATGAATGTCCTGGATCTGCGGCGTGATGACAACCGGATTCTTCTTCTGATCCTGGCCGGCGGCCACGTAGGAGAATACGCACAGCACCGAGTAGCAAATCTGATCGGACTACGGAGCGTATACGTGATTTTAAAGATCTGTCATCCCATTTGTGCATAAAATGGGATTTTATATCCCCTGTTCGGGCTCGGTATAGTCACAGAGATATTTCCAAAATTAAAATAAAAATTTACATTAGTTTTAAGTATTTTTCCAGCCTCTTATTTTGGGTGTTTGATGAAAAACAAAACAAAATTTGTTTCTTTTTTTAATACCCAGAAAGATCAAGAATGTATATGATTTATAGGGTTGGAAATGGCTTTATAATACTCAGCAGGGGAATAAAAATGACAATTTAATTGTTCTTGTGGAAATCTCTCTGTGAAACTTAATACCAAGCCCAGGAATGAACAGTGTTTATTTATATATACATATGTATAAATTATTTCGTGGTGTTTTGGTGAAGTGGTTTGTGTTTTTGATATTTTAAAAGAAATCTTTATTCTTTGGTTTTTCGTTTTGTTTCTTTTTGTTTTTTTTTTTGCACAACACATAGGCAGAATTGCATGCAGCTCGTGGAACAGTGGAAGTGGAACACAACAACCAAAACTCAGGTCGAAAATAGATAAAACTTAAAAGTGAAAATCAAAGGAAAAACTTTATAAAGTTCACACAAGAAAAGCCAAAAAGAAAATAAAACTCCCTCTTAATGTGATATAAAACTGTTCTTGATTGTTTTTATGTTTCGATTGTTTGGTAGAGAAGTGTTATTTCTTTTGTTCTTTGTTTTTCATTTGTTGTAGATATGACAGGAAGTACATATAATATACAATAGGGGTTATACATAAAAAGGATTCGGATTTTATTTACATAGTTTTCTTTTTGGGAGTGAAGAGAGGGTGGGCAATTCTAGGCACATTTTTATTCCATCTAATCCTTCGATTCCAGTTCCTGCACCGGCGCTGGCCGTTCCAATTCCATTGTCTCACTAAGCTCTGTGGCGGTGACTGTACCCCGACTGCGGGCGGACGAGGAGCCATTTAGATGACAAATGTAGGCAAACTGCACGGAGGTCACGCGGTGAAAGCTCAGCACGATTTCCGAAGCCTTTGGGTTTCAATTACATTTGATTCGGGGAATTTGTTTTTTACGATTTATTTTGTTTTTTTATATTTATTTTTAATTTTTAGTATGATGTTGTTGAAATGAGTTGGAGGTGTGGTGGTGTTTTGGTGTTTGTGTGTTGTTGTTGCAGGCATTTTTTGTTGTCGAGTTGTTGTTGTTGGTTGTTGTTGATTGTTGACATAGAAATATATTCACAGAAAACGAATGCAAAAAACAGAAACGGAAAAGAATAGTACATATATATGTATATAAAGATATATATATATTTAAACGGAAACGAAAACGAAACGGGTAATACAAAGAAAATCGAAAACCAAAGAATGGTTATCTTTATATTGTTGTTATATACAAACTGTCGGTGCAATTGTAGGTGCCATTATCATATACAGTGGTGATATGTGATGAAAGTTCTGAATACTTGAATATTCCATATATATAAGCATGTATATATATGCAATATAAACAAATGTGTATTTTGTATTTGAATTGAAGGTTTGTACAAAAACTTGTAAGACTGGGTAAATCGATAAATCGATTGACCCGCAATCGGAACGGAACAGGATGCAACTCGGAACAAGTGATGAAGAGAAAGTAAGGCATACAAAGTGACAAAGTGTGGTGGCGAACTGTGGTGAGTTGTGTGTGTAATTACAGTACTTACCATGCTCGACTGGTACTTGCGCTGTATGAGATTGCGGGTCTTGGGATCTTCAAGAGATAGAACAACAAAAATGAGTTCAAAGCTTGTGGTATGCATTCGAGTACTTACTGTACTCCTCCAGCACAAAGATGCCGCCCTTCTGGGTGAAACACTTGCGGATGTGGTCCAAACGTACGAAGAACTGAAAATACGGGCGGAGAAGAGAGTCAGTTGGGTTTGATTCTTCTACAGTTTATTCAATTCTCCAACTTCTTCTTCGGCTAAACGGACTCAAAGGCTCCGTCGCGGAACGAACGAAAAATATTGAACATAACGGTGGTGGTTGGAAAAACGGAACGGAACGGAACTCAAGGGAACAGAACGGAAGGCAACTTAATGAAAAAAGAACTCAAGGCCAATAATAAGGCGGTTCAACACCAAAAAAGCTTTCACACAGAGGAAGACTGGTTGATAGGCAGAGAGCAGGGGAATTAAACAGAGATAGTTTCTGTAGAGCGTTGAAAAGAGATAGCGTATACACACATGGGCGGTAAAATGTGATAAATAATATTAAACATTTTTTTTGGGGGGGGAGCAATATTTTCTTTTCATTTTTGTTTGTCGGTTTTAATCACTATTTATTTTGTCCAAAATAGGAGTGCAACGCAACGCAACGAAACAAAACTAAATGGAAATGTAAATGTAAATCATAATTGAAACATTAGCAGGCAGGCTGGCAGGCAAACTCAAAACTGAATGCTACGCAGGCGCATGGTTGAAATAACTCTAATTGAAAGGCAAGGCAGCAAGACAAGGACATCAATTACAACTAACGACACTTAGTTATATACACGGCACGCATCTAGTGTTTTTCATTTTATTTATTATTATTTTTTTTTGCTTTGCTGGTTATCAGTGCAACCAAGTGGCAACATAACGCAAGATAACAGCGATTAAACGCAATATGAAATGGAACGGAATGGTAAGTAAAACGCAAGGAAACGGAACGGAACAGACTGAGAGAGAGAAAGAGATCGAATTAGATATATATAGACAGAGAGAGAGAGACAGAAAAAGAATGCAGCGAAATCAAATGAAAGTTTGGTAATTAATTTGGTTAACTTGATTTCTTTTTTATTTTCCATATCTGACAATATATTTACTGAGAGAATATGGAATTCATTTAATTCAGTTCTTTTGTATTTTGTTGTATTTCTTTTTTAATTATTGGGTGGGGGAGGGAATTAAGGGGGATTTCTAATTAGCACTTGTGAGATGGTCGCATACTAAGTAGCTTGGATTTTGGATACGAAGGCGTTAGTTCTAAGCATTTATTGGTAGTATATATATTTACCCCAACTTTGGCACTAATACAAACGCAAAATAACTAAATTAAGCTACAGTGTGTTCGGTGACCGAGAGTGTTGGTGTTTGTGTGTGTGTGTGTATGTATGTGTACTTCTCTAGAGAAGTTTGCTAGTATACAAAAAATCGTAAACACACTAAGGGGTTGGTTCTAGCAGGAGAGATCGGTTCTGTTAGAGGATGAGAGTCCGACTACAGGGGTTGCTCCTTGTTGGGCTTCGTCCTGTTCCCATTTTAGACTTGAAAGGGGCAACGGTTTGGGAACATTGGGAGTTGGGAAATGAGTAGAGGAGCGAAATGGAATGGATAGAATGGGGCAGGCATTAATTGGCGACACATGCAACGGCATGCAGCACATGTGCCAGCCTCCACTAACTAACAAAACTAATGGATGTGAGATGGGTATCGATCTTTAATCGGTACTCTATGCTATGGTTTCCTTGGCCCTTAACAGGTAACGGAAACGGAAACAGAAACGGAAACGGAACGAGTAACGCAACGGAATAGGCAAATATAGGCCGGAAATAAGTGAAATAGAAACAAATAGAGAGCGACAGAATGATAAGGGGAGATACAGGCAGGCAGGAAGGCCTGGAAAGCGCTTTGGACAAATAACGATAGCTTAGAGATTGTTGAAACCGAGCTAGCATTTCTTTTGTTGACTTTCTTCATTCAACTTGTCCTTAGTTTACGCTTTCATTCTTTTGGTATTGTTTTTCTTAAAGTTTTCTTAATTTATTAACTACAACTACGATTGATGTTCAAGTCTTTGCTATAACAACGTAACGCTACACAAGCAAACTCAAAATCAACACTAAGGAAACTTTGTTGGATCTATACATATTTTTTTGTTAACAACTCGATGAATTTTCTGGCACACTTTAACAAACAAACGAAAAACAAATAAATACAGTAAAAAACAAGAAGCTCAGGGGGAGCCTGGGCACAGGGTTTGTAAGGAGGATCATTTCAACAAAAAACTCCTGTGTAAAAAGTTGATATTTCTAACCAAACATAAGGATCGAAACTCAATGGCAAAGAAAAGGAAAAAAAGAAAGTGACAAGAAACAAAACGGAAACGGAAACGGAAGAGCACAACACAGTCATGTTAGCAGATGGGAAACTTTTGATATATCAGCCCCTGATTGTATAGGTTTGGTTGGCTTCATATATGAGTATGTACATCGGATAGAAGAGGGATATATTTTGGTTGAACTCAATTCCAGACGGACCTGGACAAATGCAAGTGGTGCGTATTTTTTTATGTTTGTTTTATTTAACATTTTTTAAAATAGTTTTGTGAATTGTGGTGCATTCTTGGCTCTGGCAAGGGGTTTTCGCAGAAGCTGCACTTGGGGAATTTAACTGTGGCAGAGGGGAGCGTGCTTGGGCATGCTAGGGAGCTCGAAGCCTTGAGTTTTTTTCGGCACACGGAGTGTGACCAGCTTCAACTTGTAGGCACGGCAATTGAGTGTGACCATGTGAGTGTCTTATACAACAAAAGAAACAAGTGAGATGAAAACGAATCAATAACGATAAAGTGCTTTCGCAAACTAAAAACATATTTATAGTTTGGGTAATCTAACGTTAATAGGTAATCGGTAATTCTGCATTAAGGTATACAAAGTGTACGGCTCAGTTTCAATTCAAGTTCAAATTCAAATTTAAACTCAATTTAAGTTTAAATTCAAATTCATGTTCAAGTTCAATTCAACAAACAAACCAACTAACCAACCAACCAATCAATCAACCAACAGTTCAAAAACTTAAATCTCAGAGATAGATAGAGACAGAGGAGGAGGAGGAGAGATCATATAACATAAAATATATAGGTAAATACATTATGTTGGTATATTATATATTATTTTGCAGTTTAAGGTTTAAATTCAATATCAACTACACAATTTTGTTGTTTCCTTTTTTTATGCAACTGTTAATGCCATATCGAATATATTTGTATACTTTTTTGGTTTTTACCTTATTTTTTTGTGGGTGAAAGTGAAGGTTTAAATCAAGTGTTATGAACGCAAAAGAGTCCAACATAAAACTGAAGAGCAACGCAAACTAAAACATATTTTCTATTTGTTATTATTATTTTTTTGTGAGGTGTTTGGGAGTGACGGGGGAATGGGGATGGGTGAGGGGGGGTGGTGGGCGGATAGCAGGGCTTTTAAAGAACAATAGTTGCTTATAAATTTAAGTTCAAATATAACAAGAAATTTGTTCATTGCAATACCTCGAAATCCTTTTATCGTTTTTTCAGATCGTATTTTTTATAATAGACATTTTTGTTTTATCGATTTTCGGTTTGTTTTTGATTCGTTTTGATTTTGGGTTTATTTTTGATATTGTTTTTTGTTTTTGCGTTTCAGAAGTAGTCGAATCATTTGGAATAATGCGAATTGATTTCGATTCGGTTCGATTCGGTTCGGTTCGATACGGAACGTGATATATATAGTTTTTTGGTTGGTCCACAAAGAGGAGGGAGAGCGAGCAACGGTGCAGCGTTCCGCGTTCGACAGAGAACGATTAAACGAGCAACAAAGAAAATTATAAAAAGGAAAGTTGAGAAAACTGTTGTCAAAACGGTTTTTCATTCATACAAGTAATTTTGGTTTTTATCAATTTCTAATTTGCTGGCGAATTCTTTTGTTTTCATGTATCAATTTTTATTTCAATATAATTATTTGGAATAGATTTTTGTAAATACTAAATAGAAACGATATGAAATGTGGCTGTTGTTGTTGTTGTTGTTATGTTCGAGTCGCTTGCTTAAAAGGGGGGTATATATATATAAACATATATATTTTTTAAGGGGTATATCGGCTTTACAACGGCAACTGGTGGAGATATTATTATCATGGGTGGACACATTGGCTACAATAGCTTAAATTACATTTGTTGTTTTTTTGTACTTGTTGTTGTTTCGGTTATTTTTACTTAACGAAAAAAGGAAATAAATTTGGCAAGCATAATTGCTACCAAAAAATTGGAAGAAACTTAACCAAAATATAGTGTAAAATCGAAAGAAAATGGAAACCGAAAAGGGAAACTGGAAAAAATATTTCAAAATTTCTTATTTATCGTGTCATGAAACACTGAAAAACAATGAAGAGATATATGGAGAAAGTGGTAGATATATATATTTAAATAGGTCATTTTATATATATATACGCATATAAGATATAGAAAAGAGATCAAAGAGATATAGAAAATGTAGAAAAATGAGTATACAGAAAAGAAATGAAACAAAAAATACGATTGGAAATAGAACAAAATAAGCACTTTAGAGGATTTTCTTTTATTTTTTTTTTATCACAAGGACCATCTCAAAAGTTACCAGCTTAGAATATATACTTCTTCATCTTGCCTTATTATTTTTGCTTTTATTTTGCTTTCGTTGCATCACATTCTTCTTGTTCATATACATATACGAATACAGACGTATATATTTATAAGGATGAGCTTTAAAGATTCGAATAGAAGGAAAATGAGCAGAACATAAAGTACAACAACGAAATCCAACATAAAAAGGTAATCATCAGTGTTTAAACCCATAAAAAAACACACACATAGTCCTTAGTCGTTGTAGTTTTCTATTTACAAGGAAACTAATAGCTTTGCCAAGTTTATATATGTATATAACAAAGAGCAAAGGGACCTAAGCGAGAGACAGACGGGGACCTATTTATAAGATCGTTTAATAATTTTTACTACCACATAGTAGTTTCATGATTTAGTTCTTATAGTAGTTCTTACAATAATTCAATGTTTATGTAGTGATGAAAAGGAATTTCGAATGGTTTTTTGAGAGGGGGGATTCAAGGGATACAAATGCAAAAATGTATCTATTAATTTTGTAATTCTTACGAACGGTAATCGTTAATCGTAGGTCGCTTATCGTAGATTGTGAAACGTATATCGGTAGATCGGTAAATTAATAAATCGGTAATTGTTAAATGGTTAAATCGTTAATCGGTAAATCAGTAAAATCTGTGAAGTGGTAAAATCGGTTATGGGTAATCGTTAAAATCGGTAAATTGGTGAATCGGTAATCGGAGCTATCGTTTAGCCAAGACCATAAGAAGAATGAGGTAAAAAATGAGCATAAAAAACATATAAAACGGTGAGCATAAATAACCAAACGTAAGGATCGTAAGAATGTCTATCGTAATCGTAATCGAAAAAGAAATATGAAGAGGGTGTAAAAAAATGGGATTTCTTATACATTTCTCTTGCTATTGGTTTTTTCTTATGTTACCATTGAATCGGTTAGGTAATAAATAAAATAGAGAGTATAATGAATACGGCATTCAGTACATTCACTAGCACAATATATGGGTATGATATAGATGGATTTTCTGCATATATATATATATATTATTTGATTTGTATTTCTTTCACTTGGATCGATCAGAGATTGGATAAGATAAGAGATTCGATTGATTTTTCGATATATATATTTTTTTGGTGGATTATATAATGACTTAGGAGTATTAATAAAAGTTAAATATATTGAAGAAGGCGAGTCAAAATAAAATGCCAAAACCAAAGCGAAAGAACCAAACGAAAGACGGAAGAAGAAAGACAAATGAGTTACAGAGAGAGATAGAGAGAGTTAAAGAAAGAGAGAGAGTGAGAGAGGCAGAGATCGGTAAAGTATAATACGTAGTTGGAGGTTGTTAGCTTCGGGTTATATAGGTAGGGGATATTTAGGTGGGTCGGGCTTCCGGTCGGGTCTAACGAACTGAAACACTCGCAGGGACAATGGGAATGGGATTGGACTTCACTTCCGGCCTGGACTATGACACAATATTCATATATACATATATGTATGTATATTCTTATTCTCATTCTCGGACACTGTCCTGGTTTCTCCTATGAATTGGTGTCTTTGGTTTATTCACATTTCGTTTACATATCGGAAAAGCACAAACTGAAAACCAAACATAATAAGTATATATATATATGTATATGGATATACATATATATATATATCATTGCAATTTATATTGAGAGGGCCCTTGATCTTGATGCAGTCGATACACACACACAACGAGGAAATTATTGGGTTAATCAATCGAACTAATCAATATCATAAGTAACGGAAAGAAAGCCAGACGGAAAACGAAATGAATCGAGAGGAAACGAAATGAAACAAACAGAAATTTAACTAAATGAAACGACTGTAAATGAAACACTGAAACTTAGGCAGTGGGAGTATGTATCGATATATGGACAGATAGACGCGCGACATGTACTGATACCCATTTATTTGATTTGATATTTATATCAATAATCCTTCAGTTACTTTTTGTCTTGGATCACTTCTGAATTCGCTAATCTTCTGATTATATTCGTGCTAATTAAGTCATGTTTTTTATATTTTAAGTGTGACCGGGGGGGCTTCTTCTGACTGCGTTATCCTTTGGAGGATGTGTGAGTGTACTTGTGTGTTTGGTACGAATAAAAGGGAGCACTAGCTATAGTTTCGAATTCGGAGAGATCGGAGATGGAGCTGGTTTTCGTGTCTTAGTCTTGGGTGTAACTATGTATATATAACTTTAGCTTGATCTTCAGCGATCTCGTTTTTGGTTGGGTGTGTGTCTATGTGTGTGTGGGTGCCAGGTGTTTCTTTCTTTTTCATTATTCTGAGAGATTAAGGACCACTCACCTTGCTGTTGGAGAACAACAAACCGACACCCTCGAGGCACACCTGCAGCAGGCCGCCCTCGCCCGTGTTCATGTCCTGGACAGGGAACTCGCCTCCCAGCTCGGGCACATTGGTGGGCGTGCCGCCGCGCTCCATGGCCTCCTTGATGCAGTTGTACAGTTCCTTGCACTGAGCGGGAGGGATTATCTTTGAGCTTTGGGATCGCAGGAGGAATAGTGGAGAAGACCTACCTTCCTTGTGTAGTACTTGTGCAACTGGGTCTGTCCACCGTTGCGGCGCCACAGGCAGAGCAGCTTGGTCTTGGGCGAGTAGGTCATGTTGACCAGCCTCTCGTACCACCAGCGCTCCACAATGGTGCCATCGACGGATCGCAGGACCAGTCCGTCATCCCGCACCTCCATAAAACGCAGCGGACCATTGACATCGGTGCCCTGGTGAACGGTGAAGCTCTGACGATGCAACAGTCGGGAGCCAAGAGGCTTCAGATCAATGTCGTTGCCGTTCTGCGATAAAGGAATCGAAATATCCAAGTTGATGTTGAACAGAGAGATGCACTTTCTCACAAACACTCACCAGATTATTGATCTGATCGACCACATTGTGCACCTCCTGGGAGTAAACGAGTCCGATGTGACTCTTGCCCAGCAAGCGTCGAATCTTGCGCCGGATCTCGTCCTTGGTGACATTCAGCATCACCAGAATGGCGGTCAGGTTATACAGCATCGTAGAGAGCAGTCGATCCTCGTCGTGCTCAAGGCGCTTCCTCTCCGATTCGCTCAGTGACTTGTAGCGCTCCATCATCTCAATGGGACCCTGCACATAGATATTCGAAATAGATCCTTGGAGGAGCACTTCTCTAGTCCCAGAGACTCACCTGATCCATGCCAATCATATCCCGCTCCTGGCTAACAGCATCGAGGAATGCGTCCTCCCAGAACTGCATCTGATTCCACAGATTCAGGCGATCCTTGCCCAGCAATCCTTCGAAGAGATACACCCGCGGACTATCTGGCGATGGCGAGGATGAGGTGTTTATCAGGTGTCCTCCGGTATACCGGAAGCCGGCACTCAGCGTCGACTTCCCTGACCACAAGTTGCCAGTGCTCTTCTTCGAGTCCTTCGAAGTGGTCGTCTGGAAAGTTAATCCCTCGTTAGTATCAATGTTTTCAGGATTCCGGCTCCAAGGCTCTTTAGGTCCTGGACAGGAATAAACTCTTACGGTGACAGGGGATTGTATTACTCAATAAGCCTGATTCATTAAATGTGCAAGAACTCATGGAAGATTCGCTTCCTAGGATAGGTTTAGGAAATGGCAATCGGAAATTCATTTCCTTATAATTAAATGATCTCAAAGAACAGCTAATGATCTGGGAGGGGAATCCAGAATCTTCTTGAATAGCTTAAGGAGTGACAAGGTCATAGGATCAATAATGGAGTGTCGGAAACCTCAGGTCTCCTGAACCTCCTGAAACTCCCTTTTAAATTAAGCTCCTAGGAATTCCTAGCTAACAATCACAACCTCCTTGATCCTGGCCTGCCCTCTGACCCAGGCGGGGCTGTACTTACATTTTCGTACTCCGTGTCTGAGACCGTGGACCGGCAGCTGGAGGGCAAGCGGACGACGCCCAGACTGACCACGGAGAGGGCGCCCGTAGAGCCGGCAGCCTACGGATTACATACGGCCTGTTAGAGAGCTCTACAAACGGATGGGTGGTGGCGAGGTTGCGAGGTTGGATGGGATTACATGGATTACGTGGGGGTAGGGTCAGGTCAATAGGTTTCAGCCATATATGTTACATACTGATACTGATACTGATACTGATAGATACTGATATTAGCTAGTTGGTACTGAGTGGCCTCTATACACTGATATGCCGATAAGCGATTCTACGTACGATATACGATATATATGTATATACACTGAGCAATTTACAGGATTTTTTGCGGGCAAGCTGAGAGCACATGATGAATGGACGCAACTAGGACGCAACTAGGACGCAACTAGGACTACGACTATGGACTAGGGACTACTGCCCTGTACTCACATCCGAATCGAACGAGGTGAGCATGTTCTTCAAGGCACTTCTCTTCTGCGACAGCATATCCTTGAACATCTCCGTCGTCGACTGGCCATCCTGGCTGTCCGTCGACGAGAGCCTTCGGTTTGCGACTCCTCCGCCAGGTCCCGATGGTCCCGCAGGCACCGGGTGGGCGGTGGAGCTCTTGCGGGACTCCTGCGGCGACGCCCACTCACTGCCCAGGCCCGAGTGCGATCCATTGGGTGAGCTGGGCGAGCGTAGGTTCTCCCGGCTGCCCATGGGACTAGCCGCATGGCTGGAGAGCAGGCTGGAGGACATGTCGCTGCCCTCGTGGATCTCCTTGCTCCAATAGTGCGTGTGCGCCACCTCCATCAGCTGGAACACGGAAGCCATGCCGCCCAGGCCAAAGTTACCGAAAGTCACGTCCAAGCCGCCGGCAATGGCCTGGACGCACTTGAGCATACCCTTCCACACGGGCTTCGTCACGCACTGGAAATGCAGGGAAAAAGGAACTCAGTATCGATTAATTAGGAATGGGAGAAAAAGGATACCCACCACATCATCTATGTGGTCATCCGGGGCAATCTTCTTGTCCAGCGTCTTGTTGAGCTTGCTGAGCACCAGGGTGCGATAGGACTCGTCCTCCATGAGTTTTTTGAACCGATTGAGCTTCAGCCAGCCAACGCCCTCGCCGGCAAGCACCTGGTTGGTCACATCCTTGAGGAAGGCCTGGTTCTCGGCATTGCTGTGGGAGCGCTCCTGGTTCTGCTGTCGCGTGAGCTCCTCCTGCGTCTGCCTGGGACCCGAGTGCTTGATCAGCGGCGTTCGCTCCACGAGTCCTTTGCGGCTGGGAAAGGGATCAAAGTTGATGCCAGTCTTGCCCTTGGCGGACCCAACACTGGCGGCTGGCTTGTGGGTCACAGGAGTCTGCTTCTGCTGGTTCTCTGCATTGAAAAATATAGGTAAGCAATCATTTGATCCTTTTCTTTATAGATCCTAAGCGAACTTACTTTTCCCAAACATGCCAGAGAACATGGTGGATGTGGACGAGGCCAGGCCATTGAAGTCGGTGCCAATGGAGGAGAAGAAATTGTTGCCACCGCCACCGGCAGAGCCACCACTTTGCTGCACTTGCTTCTGGGTGGCCAGCTGGGAGCCCGGCACCTTCGGCGGCGTCATGGAGACCGCCAGGGAGTCCCCGCCTCTGGCATGCTCTTCGATCTTAATGATGCCCTTCTTGGTGGCCGCCTCCTTGGCCGTCTTGGTCAGATCGCCCAGCGTGGACTTGCCCACATAGGTGAGATCCTCCAGGGTATTCTTGCTAACCCCGGCCGCCTGCTTGGACACCTCCAGGGCCTGCTTGGAGGCCTCTCCCGCTGCCTTCTTGGCGTGCAGCGTGAACTGTGGACCCGGAGGAGGATGGGAGTTAGAAATCGCAGAGGATGGAAGTAAATAGGCTACATGGTGGTGCTAAGTAACAGTCAATGCAAGTCCTTAACCCCACTATGAAGTCCTTCCAGGACGAGGACTACTTTTACAAAGTCTACAAGACGACACAACGAGTTCCCATGGCAGTATCAGTGGAGGATGAGGATGAGGATGAGGATGTGGATGGGAGGAGTAGGTGACCACCAAGGATTGAACAAATTACAAATGAAAAGTGTATGATGGGCAAATAAATATATTCGATTTAAGAAACTTAACAAGGATGATCAGTGTCTATATAGAATATATTTCTAGTATGTAATTATGCAATTATTATTAAGCAGCGTGCCAAGTTTAATATCATAAACAATAAATTTGAAATAAATAAGATACAATTCCCTCCTAGTTTCTATAGATTTGTGTATATGTATGTTGCACTTACATCATTCGATTGATGATGTAAACGATGATCATGTGTGCGCTGTGAGTGTGAATGATGAACGAATGAATGAATTGTGAGTATACAGGATGAACATATTCCTTTGGATGGTCTGGGGATAGTGCGGAGTGGGAGTACCAACCTTTTCGAAGGTATGACGCATTTTGTCGTCAAGATCTTCGTCCAGCGCATGCTATACAGTACGGAACATTCATGTCAGGTTGAAGTGTTCAACCAAACCAACGCAGAAAATAATAGAAAACCGAAAAGGAAATCAAAGTAAAACGAATACGGAAATGAAAAGTTACATACAAGTGAAAGAAAAAAGAAAGGAACACATTGAGAGTACACAACACACACGCCTTCCTTCCTTCCCCTTCATGGGCGGAGAAGGAGGAATTCCTTCCAGTTTCTTAGCTCAAGGACTCACCTTGTCCACGTGGGCCAGCAGACCCTCCTGGCTGCTCTGCCTGGTCGTCTCCCGCACCAATTCCTTGGCATGCGAAGCGAAGTTCTCGAACAGAGAGCTCTGCGAGCTCTGGCGACCCGGACTGCTCGAGCTGGAGCCGGAGCTGCCCGTCCTGGCCAGGATGTTGCTCACACCGGGCTGCTTAACGGGTGGCGTCAGGGGTGGCTAGATAAATAGAATTAATTGTAATTTACTTACAAAATACTACTCTGTAGTCTCGTGTGCCTACCGGAACCTTCTTCTCGTGCCGCTCCGAGTCACTGGGATGACGCTGGAGCTTGGTTATGGCCTTGCCACTGGCCGTGTCCGGCTCCTGCTCAATGCTGGCCATCTTGATGGTGGCCTCCAGACGCATAGCCAAGGGTGTGGCCAGCTCGAAGCTGGGAGCACCTCCTCCTGCTCCCGGGCCCACTGCCTGTCCCTTGGGCTGGAAATCGAACTCCGAGTCGCGATTGAAGCTGGGCGAACTGAGATCCGAGCGGCTGGAGGATGAGGAGACCGGACTATCTGCCCGGTCTTCGTCATCCTCCTCCTCCTGGGCCTTGCTGGCCGCCACTGCATCGGCCGTGCCCTCGGGATACTGGAGCTTGCTGGGCGGATGATAGACCAAGGCCGGGTCCAGGTTCGAGGACAGCGTCTGCGGCACCACATGCGGCCGATTGTACGAGCCGAAGACATCGTGCAGGCTGGGCGACAGATCCGAGGAAGCCATCTCCGAGACAAAGTCACTGAGGGAGCTGTACGAGGAGCTGCTGCTGTCCGCTCCCTCCGAATCCGAGCCGCTCTCGTCCGTGGGCTGGCACTCCAGTTGCTTCAGCGACCGCAGGGCCCCATTCAGGGAGCTGCCGTCGTCCCAAACCGAAAACCTAATGGGGGTCAGGGCATGGGCGAACCACTTGGGCTTATCCCCCACCTGCATGGGATCCATCACCCCGGTTTGCACACGCAGAAATGCCACATTTGTGGGCGTCAGCGACCACTCAGCCAGGAACTCCACCGCCTGGGTCCTGGCAAACTGATTCAGGAACACCGAGGCCCGCGGCCGGGATCTGAGGAAACTATTGATCTGGAAGGCAACCACGGGACGCGGATAGAGACGCAGTGTTCGCGTGTGTTCAGCAAAATTGGCCAGCGTGTTCTGGGCATTGAAGAAACGCACCATGGCCACCCGGGTGGCCACATCCACGGAATCCACATCGGTGCCATAGACGAAGGGATTGAGAGCCGGCGAGTTCATGGGACTGGGCTGCCGGGAGCTCATCGCTCCCTGGTTGGACACGGAGTTCCGTTGACTGGCCTGGGCCGAGTGCGGTGGCGTTTGCAGAGGGAGTCGCACCTGGGAGACCCTGTATCCGGTAAGAATATATATAGAGTTATCATTATACTTTGGAGGTATATATGTTTGGTACTTACCCCAGCAGCGGTGGCTCTTGGAGACTGTCCCTCACAGAAGGTAGAAGCTGTTGCGAAGACACCGCCTGATTGGTGGCCGTCATCGATGTGAGTGCCTGTGGAGCGTTATCGGAAAAAAAGGTGATCAGTAATCAGATCTTCTCAAAGTAATCTCTAACTGGACTAACTATGCAAAATACTTATACAAGGGGGGGACTGGGAGAGCTCTTCGACTCGGGACTTTAGGCTACTTTAGTTACTCGTTTACTGGAGTTGAGAGAGAGAAGGAGTTAGGCAGAGAGAGAGAGATAGAGATAGAGTCTGTGACTGACACTGAGGGGCATGCACACGAAACACATAATATGTTACTAAAGACAGCGAAAGATATATACACATATATATAGTATATAAGGAGATATCATATATATCTCGGAGAAAAAGTCCCAAACCTAGGCCTCGGATTATGGATAATGAATGTATGAAAGAAATGGCAAGGAACCGTATTTTTCAATGGGTTTGAAATCATATTTTTCAACTCTAATGTAGGCATGCGGTTAGTACTCTGGCCTCCTTTACGTATTCATATATATAGTCTCAGATCTAGAGTTAGTTAGTATATTATTTATGGATTATGTTTTTAGTATGTAACTCAAGTATAACCATAAAAACGATAAACAATAAACGATAAACGATAAACCAAACGTAGATTAACACGATTGCGAACGATATTTACACCAAGTCCAGCTTCGTCCATCAATAGCATTGCCTGCCGATGTGGTTGTTGTTGTTAATCGATAGTTGTTGTAGTTGTTGTTGATGTTGATGTAGTTGTTGTTGTTCAAGTTGTGATCAAGTATAACAATATAAATATACATATATATTTTCATATATATATGTATATCATATATAACAGATAATGCATGAGTGTCAAAGGTAGTATAGCCATAAGATAGAGACAGAGATGGGCACACATCGATATATAGACGCAGAAAGAAAAACAAAACACGAAGAAAATAAGTAAGAGAGAGATAGAGAGAGAGTTGTACAAGTGTCCTCAATGGGGGATTTTTATATAAAAAAAAACATTTATATATTTATATATATGTATATAAATTAAATGAAAACACTGATGAACAGCTCTCTGTATATTTGTATATTAATCAGCGGTCTCCATGTACAATTAGATTCTATATTTGTAATTATATCGAATTAAATCACACCAAAGTCGATTAATGAGCAGCGATAACGGTTTGGTGACAGCGATAAACGATAGCAGCGACAGTTAAACCGATGCATTTGCTTTACGATTTTTAATTTTATTTACGTTGTAAAGTTTAAAATGGAGTTAGAGTAGAGCAAATGCATTTGTTTATGTATAAATAGTATATTTTGTATACCAATATATTTAATGAACATGATAAACACATATGTTTACATTTATCAGTATAAACAGTTTGACTTTTATTTGCAATATTAGAAATTCACCCCAAATTAATTTGTTAATTGTAATTGAGGTTCATTAAAAATCAATGTAATTTATGATAATTGCTTTTGCAATTTTATTTTAGAAACTTGAAAGAAAGCTGTCTTTGCACAGTCATAGGATCACGTACATATGTATACCTCAAAGAAAACATACAATATGTGTATTCTAAATATATTAAATAAGTTATTTTTATATGCTAATTTTTTGGGTTAATCAAAGATTTTTAAATATCATAACTTATCCAAAAATGCATTACTTTTAATTCAAAAAACTTTTCCGCCCTAGTTTTTATACGGTTAGACTTTCTCTTATAACTTTTTCTCTAGTTTGGGTATTTATTTATTGTATAATTTAGGCTTTTTAAACATTATTATGATTTTTTACTTGAACTTAAAACTTAAATATTACCATCTAGTCAGCCTTGAACTTCTTGTGTCAAATAAAAAGTCTATCTGCCAAACCCTGCTCCTAATAATTTTCATTATAATTCCATTCGTCGAACCAGGAACATCTTTAGTAAATATTTCTAAATTATTTGTATCCCGAAAAGAAGTTTAACCGAGTTTTGTAAATTTCAACAAATTTCCTAAAAGTTCAGAGGTGTGTTTGTCTAAATTGTAGTATATATATATATATGGGTTATATATAATACTCTATATACTCCTATATAGGATGAGCAGATACCAGAATCTCCGCCCACGATCAAGAGAGCATTTTCCAAGGACTCCACTGGGACACATGCTGAAGAACAAGGTTTTCGCCTCTTCCGACTCCTGGAGGTGCTCCTTCGAGAAGTGCAGGATGCACAGGATACGCTCCATCAAGACAAGGACAAGACCCTTCTGTCATGGCAGCCAGTGGGGTCGGTAGGGTCGTCGTCGGGGTTGGATGACTCTGCCGCCTGGCTGTTGCTCCTGCCAAAGCTGCTACCCTGGACACTGTTGCTACCCTGGACACTGCTGCCCCGCCAGTGCCGTTGCTCTCGGCGGTGCTGCTACCCTGGAGGCTTCGCTCTGGGTCCATGAAGCGGACCAAAGGGATCAACCATTGATTTATCCACATTGACGGCCATCAAATCTGTGTTGTGAAGTGCATCGCTTATGGGGACCACTTCAAAGACCAAACACTTCTCAGAAACATTGGACAGAAAGTCATTGTCGTCAAGTGTTGTAGCCAAAAAGATAATTTTGGTATTGTGTGCTGGAATTTAAGCTTTGTTTTCTCAGTTAGAAAAGAGGGTTCAAATTCCGGCCCACAATGCTGATATTATCTTTTTGGCTACATCTCTTGACGGTCGTGACTTTTCTGTCCAATGTTTTTGAGAAATGTTTGGTGTTTGGCGTGGTTCCCATCAGCGGTGCTTTTCACAGAACAGATTTGATGGCCTTCAATAAGGATAAATTGGTGGAAAATAATGTGTGGCTCTCCCTCATGTCAAGAAAGATTCGCCTGTTTGTTCCGACTTAAATTAGAATAGCATTCTTAGAGCCGATATTTATCTACAAATTTATATGAAAATGTATATTGACAAATTAAACTTTGAAGCCATAAAAACATTAATTTTAATGAGCAAATCGTTCCGTGTCATTTTCCCTAAGAATAATAAATCTGCAATAATATGAATTCGCTCAATTAGATTTGGTTTTTTTGTTCTTGGATTTGTTATTTCTTGAAGTTGAGCTAAAATATTGTCTCTTTTCTTTACTGATTTATGACTTTGATTGCAGGGTATAAAAAAGATTTATTCTTTGCAAACTTGAATTTGAAATAATTGTTTTAGAAGGAAATATTTACCCCATGTCAGTTTAGTTTCTTTGTTTGCTTTATAAAACAAAACAAGGCAGTCGTAGTTTTTTAAATCAAACTATAGGCTGAGTGTGTATAGCTTGGAGCTTCATAAATTCAGTTCTGATTAGAGGTAGCTAATCGCCAACCCAGTTGAGTTTTACCACTGTTCTTGACCAGTTTCTCGCAGTGTACAGCCATGTACAGTCCCCACATTGCCCTGATGTCGGTGGTGCAAGCCGACAGTTCCCGTCACCCGGCCAAGCTGCGCTTCGGGCGCCGGGACTCGGAGACGAGCTTCACGGATCCCCGCCTGGAGCAGCTGATCGTGTTCCGGGCCCTGCTGGAGAACCTGCTGCGGCAGAAGACCCACTTTGAGAACGAGGGCGAGGTGGAGCGGCTGCGTCTGGAGAGGTTCCGGAGCGAGGGGGCCAGCGAGCGCCAGCTCCACGTGCAGGAGCAGGTGGTGAAGAAGTCGAAGGTCATGCTGCCCGGCATCGTCTTCAAGATGCGCAACGAGGTGGACAAGCTCCGGCGTTTCCTCAATGGCCACGAGCAGGGATTGCGCCAACTGGACGCTGATCTCTATGACCAGAGCCGTGATCTTCTCCAGAAGTGCCAGCACTGCCTGGACACCCTTTGAATCACTCTCCTCCTCCTAATCAATATTTTGCATATGTCTTTTAGCCCGAACTTTAACCCAAATTGAATTGTGACCTCAAAATAAATTCCAATTGTAACTGACTATGTTTTTAAGCTGTTTCTCTGCTCTTAAGTTTAAATCATTTACTTTGTGGGTGAATTTCTAACAATCAAAGCCTGGAGTTTAGATTATCCTTTGTACAGGGGTTACTTTGGGGATCTTAGCGGATCCAGGGGGCTTACCTGCTTGAGGTGATTCTTCAGGATGGTGCCCTCGGGCTCAGGTAGCGGTGGTATTTCCTCATAGCCACCCGTTGGTGGCGTCAGTTTGGTGGAATCCAAGTCAACCACCCAAATGTCATCCGGTAAGCTGAGAGTTGCCAGTAAGTATATATAGTTTATGATTCTGACACCGATTCTGATTATGATTCTCACCGGAAATTCTTCTTGTAAACCAGGAACGAGGCCGGCACACCTATCACAAAGGGCGTGGGCGCCAGGAGCAGCTGCTCCGCACAGCTGAGACAGGTGGGCAGGAGCGGTATGACCGGGAACATGTATTCCAACGGATACAGCATCGTGACGAAGGCCATCACCGACATGGAGAGGGCATTATAGTCGCGCGACTGAAACAGCACCTTGTTCTCCTGCATGATCAGGGTCCAGACCTTGAGGCACGTCTCCACGCCGAGCAGCTCCAGGGGCAGGTGGAGCGGGAAGTCCACCAGCGAGAAGCGAGTGTGGTCGGGCAAGGCGAACAGCAGGGGTTCGTGCACCGTCGGTGAGAGCACCTCCACCTGTGGGGAAAATATGAATAAAGTTATTATTTAAATATAAGAAATCATTAAATTAAGACTGAATTTTAAATCGAAAATAAATACAATTTCTGTCCCATTGCGTATGAGTTATATTTATATCTGTTACTCTTAAGGCATATAACTATTAAGGATAAGCACTGCATCTAAACTAAACATCTAAACTATCTTACAGGTTTCTGTTTAGCTTTTTTCATGGATTTTTCCATCTAAACAGATTTAAAAAAAAGGAAAACAACATGGCGTATGAGTAATATTTCCGTATTAAATATTACGTATACGTCATGTAGGTTTCTTTTTAAGTAAAAATCATATCTTAAGAAAAATTGTATTTGCAATTGTTTCTGTCTAACTGTGGGTATGGATTTTTCTATCTAAACAGATTAAAAAGAACTCAACATGGCGTATGAGTAATATTTCCTTGTTAAATATCACGTATACGTCATGTAGGTTTCTTTCTATCTAAAATTCTTATATAAAATTCATATCCCAAGAAAAGACGTAATACCAATTAAAATGTTCTCTATTAACTACTTCAAAAAACCCATCAGGTGTTTGAGTTTTCTACCCAAAAATCACGTATACGTCATGTGGCATCTTCATAAATCCGGAAATACTCACCTCGACTCGCGTGGACCCCGGCACCGGCACTGGCGTGGACAGAAGCCTCAATATCCACGTCTCGATCTCACGCACATCATGGAGAACGATCGAGGGCGTCGCCTCGCTGGCATGACCCGTCAGCACCGTCCACACGTTATCCCGGTTGACCTTCTGCGAAGCGCCCACCCTCTTGGGCGACGAGGACTCGTTGCAGGCATCGATCAGCTTCTTCAGGATGAAGAGGCACTCGCGGAAGGTGGTGAAGAACGGATGGTGCGAGATGATGCACAGCGAGGTCAGGGACTGGTTGCGCAGCTTCGTCCGCTTCCGCGAGGCACGCGGCGAAGGCGAATGACTGCCGCCGGACTCGGAGTCCGCCGAAGGGGCCATCAGGCCCAGCTTCGGCACCGCTGCCGGATGATGGGACTGCGACTGGGATTGGGACTGGGAATGCGACTGGGATTGGTGCGACTGTGGCTGATGCGAGTGGAGGCGCTGCTGGTCGGAATCCCGGCGAGAGGTGAGTTCACGGTCCGAATCGCTGGGCGCTACGTTACTTCTGTAGTCGCTAGAAGTAGTTAAGAGGCCGTAACTATTATGGAAATGGTTTGAGATACATTAGACTGGCGTCGCTCCACCGGAGTGCCCTCCAGGTGTCCACTCCCATTGGCACACACACAACACTTGCCTGCTAAATGCCGAGTCGGAGCTCCGTTCCATGCTCTTTCGCCACGACTCGCGCCGGAAGGCCGACGACCGCCTGCCGCCCCGTCCACCGCCGCCGCCGCCAGCTCCAGCTCCGCCGGCTCCACCATGGCCACCGGGTCCTCCATTGCCGGCACGATCACCACCGGCGCCCGCCCCACCTGCCACCGTGCTGGGACGCTCGATGGGTCGATAGAAGTTCACACAGATGCCATACCGCGTCTTCCCCGAATCCTTGTCGGTCAGGGCAAACACAAAGGAGGTCATGTCCCGGATGGCGGAGCCAGTGCGTCGCGGTCCCACGCTGGTGCATCCCTCCGGCTGGCAAAAGTACACCATGTCCAGGGGCAGCGGGAAATCGGCATGATCCGAGGGCGGGTAGCGACGCAGCAGATCCGGCACCTAATTCATAAAATATATAAATATGCACTTAGTAATCCTTGAAAGCTCCTGCTTACCTGCACGGGTGGGGCCTTGAGGCCCTGCAGTCCCTTTGGCATCGGGGGTGTCGTGTGGGCACCCACGATGGCCATGTAGTCCACCAGCCGGGGACACAGGGAGGCTTTCTGTTGGTCCGACATCCTGGCGAGGGATTGTGTATGCTAAGAGAGGGGGAAGACAATAAGGATAAAGTCAGTTGCCAGGACATTTAAGAGGACAAGGACAGTATTAGAGCAAAGCTTATTAAGAGGACACCTCAGTCTCAAGTTGGAAAAGGATATGGCAGAAAGATTTAAATATAAATATGTGCAGCAATATTATAACAAACTATTTACTATAAGTTTTTGGCATTTATTTAGAGTTCAATTTGTATAAATTTAGGGCTGAACCCTCTCCCCGTTTTCCAAATACAAATACAAATATTTTTGGGGGTTCAAGCCAGTCAGTCAACTCTCCTTTGGCCTTCTCTTTGTTTGCCCGATGACCTTGCCGCTGGCAATATAATCGGTTTGGCATCCCGAGGAGACCAGCACTGGGAACCGAGCTAAACAACAAAAGCTAGAGCCAAAGCCAAAGCCCAGCAAATTGAATGTCAAAGCGGAGGCAGAAAGTATATATTTTAAAGTTTCAAATCACAAATTCCGAATTGACGTCAGCGTGCTTCAAGAAAAAAGAAATTCCTGTGGGCGTTCGTGGGTCTGTCTCCTAAGAATGCCAATAAAATATATTATACATTTATATACAGAACGAGCACAGCACTTTGAATGCCAATCCCTCGATAATGCGCCACGTGGATGTATCCACCAAGGCCAATTGAAGCAAATCGCGAGCTCAGAACTCAAAGTCAACCGCGACATCAGAGCCATCATCATTCGTCATCGGATTAATCTTCAATTGAGCGACACAGAGTAAGTCAAGTAATTTCAGCACCAATTAAGTAAGGGTGTCCTAGGTGAAGAGTACATTAAGTGAGGGATTACTGGAGTGCAAGCGCCAAGGCATCCGATTTAATCACTCTAATGGCACTCGAATCAAGGACCTTGATGTCCTCCTCCAGGGATATACATATACATATTTCTCCATCTCTCTTTCTTCAAATAGAAATTGGTTTCATTTCCATCAAATATTATATTAAAATTATGCAATTATGCTGGGTTTTGGTTTATTTCTCTGAATATTAACTAGGGAATTTCATGCCAAAGGCACTATGTATTTGCCTTATGTCCTTAAAGCATAGTGTTTGCTGAGCCCTCTGGATGTTGGGACAAGGGAAAAGTTTGCTCGCACACACATTCCTCTGGTCAGTGGACCACTGGACCCACACACACCCACACACACACACACACACACACACACACACACACACACACACACAACCATCCGTCAGGGCGAATCATGTCAAGGCTACGGATGCACTTACCCCCCTCTTCGGCACAACAACAACGACAAATGGGGGAAAAGCGAAGGAAAAACTCATTGAAGGGATGCCACTTTGAGGATGCCTCCCCCAACCAAAGCACCGCCCACAGACCGCAGACTCCGCGGAATGACATCAGCCTGGATGTGACAGGCGCACTCCCATTCCCATTTCCACTCCTAGTTCCTTTTTCCCATTCCTAGCTCCATTTCGATTGAGGTTAAAAATAGCCAAGGGTTTGGGGAGTGAAACTGTCATTAACCGAAAAATGAAATCATCCGGAGATGAGGCGCGTGGCGAGGTTTCGAGTGGCATCCCTTGGTCAGTTACTTGAGAAGTTCTTGGCCATTAAGGGTCCAAAAGGGTAGGGAAGAGATACAGCATTTAATAATTATATGGAATCTTCCAAGCCTTCAGAGAAGTCTGGCAAGCGGGAAGTGAAAGAAAACCTTATCCCGGAAATATACATTTATCCATCTCGTGCACAAGTCTGTTGTTTGTTAAATTCACAAAGGGAGTTCCAAAACAATGCCATAAGCAGCAAATCAAAGCATTTCTTAACGTGTACTTGGCAGGCATTCCGTATTTATCGTCCTGCAGGCAATGGAATTTCTCTCGCTGCGTCTTCTTCGCTGAATTAAGCGTGACGAAGAAAAGGGAAAGGCTCAAAAGAATGGCAGCAGAAGGACTCCTGCTCATCTCCTCCAGCTTTTTGTTCTAAAAACGCTCTCCTGTCACCACTCCAAGCCACTTAAAGTGTCTGCCAGTCTGTCAGTCAGACGAGCGAGCTCTGTCGTGCAATTTCCATTTAACACTGCCTCCCCTCCGACTTCCACATCTGCACCACATTTGCATCTGCATCTGCATCAGCATCTCGTACTCCCTGGGTGGAAATGCACGTGCCACTGCAGCAGGAACTGGTTACTGGTTACTGGTTACTGGTTACTGGTTACTGGTTACTGGGAGATGGTCTCCTCCATCATGGGGCACATCATAAAATCAATAAAAGGCTCGGCAATTGCATTCCCTGACAACACAATGCCGAAGCCACATCATCAGCACAGCGGGGCAGGGTATACATACATACATATGTACATAGATAAACTCGTACATCCAAGGCCAGGCCACAAAGGCTGATGCCCAATGGGTCTTATCATTCGGATATCAACATTCCCAGTCATATATATGTATATATATTCACATACAACAGTTGATGTCAAGGCATTAGGACTGCTGCTAGTTTAAGTTATCAATCCTTTTATGAAATCTGATCCAAGGGGGATAAGGATAACTCATAAAGTTATATTATTATATTATATTATAGCATATTAATATTAATTCAAATGAAATATGCTTAAAGAAAAGTTAATTATTATAAATATACATTTCTATTGGTTAAATTAACAACTTTTAATGAACTGTAATTTCTATATAAGATCTCAATGAAATATTACCCCAGAATTCTTTAAATGATTAATGCATGTAATCAAAATTATGTTTTAGAACATTTCTACGTGAGAATTTTTTAACAACTAAGACATTTTGAGTTTGCAACACTATTATATTCTCAAGTTCTATAGAAAACAAGTATTATTCAGCTTTATTTATTTTTTAAATTATATATTTTGTTAATTTTTTGGTAAGCTATTAACTTGACCGCAGCTGTGGCATACATACACGTATAAACACTCTGTTTTGGCATGCCAAAAACAACAACAACAACAACAAAAAACCCGGGAACAAGCAATATGCTAAGTGAAATGCCTTGGATGTCAGGTTTTTCATTTTCCCGACAAAAGAAGAAGAAATGAAGAAGAGTAACAACACTCCCGCATAAATTCCTTGAGCTCATGCTGAAAAGTATGCTACTGAATTTTCGGGCACCAGAAATATATGCGCAGAAGGCACACACACACACAGGCACTGAAGTAAGTGTGTGTGCGAAATGTGGATAAAAGGGGGGAGGGGGACAAGGCTAAGCAGCAATGACACACACACACATATAAGTACACACACAAACACACGCACACACTCCCCCACCGAATTTGTACGCTCTGGCGTACGCAACAAGGTCACTGGAAAAATCGTTAAGAACGAACCAAAAAAAAATAAAATACACACAAAAACAATGTTATACACACATGTCAGTGTGTGTGTGTATTTTTTATTATTGGGACTTCTTTCTTTAGCTTCCACTTACCTCTTAGTCCACTAATTATTGTTGCTTATTTCAGTTAATCAACGTTGCTTTCCATTGCATTCTGCTTGACATTGTTCACTCATTCCTTCTCGCCTTTCCCTCGCTGGTTTATCACTATTTTCTCTTATTAAAGTGTGTTCTTCTTTAAACAGCAAAAAACAAAAAGCAAGCTACGGAACATGGGCAACACTGCAAATTAACTAAGTTGCCTTTGCGATTCTTTCTGAGGCTCAGGATTCCGGATTCAGGATTCAGGATTCCGGATTCAGGCACGGGCTCGGGCTCGATTTAGCTCTCGTGGTCAGTTGCAGGCGAAGGACTCTCTCGCCGCTCCTGTGCTGCTCCTTGGTGCCTCCTGCTTGTGCTCTTGCTGTGCTAGCTCCGCGCTGTCCGTGGTGTGACTGATTTTCGTAGTCGTCGCGCCAAGCAGCACAACCAAAGGACGCCAGCGAACCGACCACACTACACCACACCAAATGGCACACCATGCCGCAGCAGCGCACGAGCCACACAGAGCGAAAAAAATAGTCAAAACTAATTGATATTTACTCTACCATTATCACATATATGTGTTAAAGTAATCTGTCCGATATGTACTTGTTATGATTGAAAATCAGAGAATAGAGTTGCAATTTATCATCACAAAACCCTATATATCCTTTCACAAGTAAAATATGACTATGATAATTAACTGTGACCAGTAATTAACTATGAGCAGTCAGTAACTCTGAACACTAAGTAACTATGTTCAATAAGTAACTATGATCAGTAAGTATCTATGATCAGTAAGTATCTATGACAATTAAGTAACTATGATCAGTAAGTATGTATGTATGTATGATCAGTTACTTACTTTGAACACTTGTAAACAATGACTTGCAACTTTTGAAACAACACATATCTGAGACGTGGCCGGTAGCAGTCACTTCGTTCCGGGGAGGTTAGAACCAGTTGGGAATCACAAACATGGGCGAGATTTGTTTTGGAACAAATTTAAGAGCAAGCTATTTTAATGAAACTATGGAGTTATTCTTCTATATAAATTTACTAGTATATAAATCGGAGCATGGCGAATCGGTGGACTATACATACATATATATATAGCTTCCATAGGAACAATCAGCCGATTTATAGAACTAAGATCAGCAATTAACTATGACCAGTAATTAACTATGAGCAGTAAGTAACTCTGAACACTAAGTAACTATGTTCAATAAGTAACTATGATCAGTAAATATCAATGAACACTAAGTATATATGATCAGTAAGTATCTATGACAATTAAGTAACTATGATCAGTAAGTATGTATGTATGTATGATCAGTTACTTACTTTGAACACTTGTAAACAATGACTTGCAACTTTTGAAACACAACACATATCTGAGACGTGGCCGGCAGCAGTCACTTCGTTCCGGGGAGGTTAGAAGCAGTTGGGAATCATAAACATGGGCGAGATTTGTTTTGGAACATATTTAAAGCAAGCTATTTAAATGAAACTATGGAGTTATTCTTCTATATAATTTTACTAGTATATAAATCGGAGCATGGCGAATCGGTGGACTATATATACATATATATATAGCTGCCATAGGAACAATCAGCCGATTTATAGAACTAAGATCAGTAATTAAATATGACCATTAAGTAACTCTGAACACAAAGTAACTATGTTCAATAAGTAACTATGATCAGTAATTATCAATGAACACTAAGTATCTATGACCAGTGAGTAACTATGATCAGTAAGCATCTATGACCAGTAAGTATGTATGTATGTATGATCAGTTACTAACTTTGAACACTAGTAAACAATGACTTGCAACTTTTGAAACACAACACATATCTGATACTCGGCCGGCAGCAGTCACTTCGTTCCGGGGAGGTTAGAACCAGTTGGGAATCATAAACATGTGCGATATTTGTTTTGAACCAATTAAAGAGCAAGCTATTTTAATGAAACTATGGAGTTATTCTTCTATATAATTTTACTAGTATATAAATCGGAGCAGGGCGAATCGGTGGACTATATATACATATATATATAGCTGCCATAGGAACAATCAGCCGATTTATAGAACTAAGATCAGTAATTAACTATGACCAGTAATTAACTATGAGCATTAAGTAACTCTGAACACAAAGTAACTATGTTCAATAAGTAACTATGATCAGTAAGTATCAATGAACACTAAGTATCTATGACCAGTGAGTAACTATGATCAGTAAGCATCTATGACCAGAAAGTATGTATGTATGTATGATCAGTTACTTACTTTGAACACTTGTAAACAATGACTTGCAACTTTTGTAACACAACACATGTCTGATACTCGGCCGGCAGCAGTCACTTCGTTCCGGGGAGGTTAGAACCAGTTGGGAATCATAAACATGGGCGAGATTTGTTTTGGAACAAATTTAAGAGCAAGCTATTTTAATGAAACTATGGAGTTATTCTTCTATATAATTTTACTAGTATATAAATCGGAGCATGGCGAATCGGTGGACTATATATACATATATATATAGCTGCCATAGGAACAATCAGCCGATTTATAGAACTAAGATCAGTAATTAACTATGACCAGTAATTAACTATGAGCATTAAGTAACTCTGAACACAAAGTAACTATGTTCAATAAGTAACTATGATCAGTAATTATCAATGAACACTAAGTATCTATGACCAGTGAGTAACTATGATCAGTAAGCATCTATGACCAGAAAGTATGTATGTATGTATGATCAGTTACTTACTTTGAACACTTGTAAACAATGACTTGCAACTTTTGTAACACAACACATGTCTGATACTCGGCCGGCAGCAGTCACTTCGTTCCGGGGAGGTTAGAACCAGTTGGGAATCATAAACATGTGCGAAATTTGTTTTGGAACATATTTAAAGCAAGCTATTTAAATGAAACTATGGAGTTATTCTTCTATATAATTTTACTATTATATAATTTGGGGCGTGGCGAATCGGTGGACTATATATATATTTATAACTGCCATGTTGTTTTGGAAATACCTTTAAAAATATTCCAAAATTCAATTTGAAACGTGTTTGACATTATTTATCTCTCTGTGCAATCCACCCCAAGCCCCGTGCCACACCCCCCACGGTCGCCACTGCAATATGCGTGGTGGTGTTGAAATTCCTACGCTCTGGGGGCTGAAAGTGGGCCGAGCCGAAGGCAGCCCGAGTAGCGGTTCATGCCGCACTTGTTGGATTCTCGTCCAGAGGCCGCCCACTGCGCATGTCCCGCTGAGCTTACGTCGCTGCCGCAGCGGAGTTGCCCCTTCAGGTGTTTTTCCCCCATTCAAGTTTAGCTTTAGCTTTTCAAATATTATTGATATAAATGAAACAAAATGAAGGCATTCCAAAACTCTAGCTACAATCCGCTAGGATTCCCAATTGCTGCTTCTGAATACTCTCTACTGCTTAGAGGACATATGAAGTGTACGTATGGAATCATTCAGATGTGAATATATAATATATATATCTAGCTACATGGATTCTAGTTAATATCAACGTCATGGAAAGCTGACAGCACAGACATGCTGCTGCTGCTGCTGCCACGAGGAAAGTAACGTGCTCGGTGCGTATGCGTGATGATTGCCATGAATGTGGGAAGGTGACCGTGTGGCTCTGGTGGCCCTGGAGCGCCGAGTGGAGGACACGGGGACGCGCGGAATTGGGGGAATGACGGTAACGGTAGTGGAGCTGCCAGAGGACTAAATGGAGCCCCAAATTAAATTACACATGCTGCAAAACAAAATGTTGAAAAGCGTGTACATACTCGTGAAGCAGCGGCAGCAGCAGCAAGAAATTCAAGTTTACAAGCAATTCTTTTGGTGACCTAACATAAAGAGGTCTTGTATGAAAAGCTTAGAAAGGCAATTAATTCGTATTTTATAATTTTAGTTGCTTGTTAAAATGCAGCTAGCTTGCAGAGTTAGGCATAGGAAAGTGGGTTCGAATGTCCAGTCGATTCTAACTAAGCTAAACATGCACTAGTCTCAGTTTAGAAGGTTTGAAATACATAAGCATTGACTTCATTACCTTCGTTTGCCTCAAAAAAAACCTTATATATGTGTCTTGAAGGTAATTTAATCAATATTTTTGATATTCTCATTTTTTTGGTAAATCAGAATTTTTCAAATATCATAACTAAACCAAAAATGCCTTAATTTTACAACGGAAGCCAGTTCTGAGTTTTAAAAAGGTCTATAAATCTGCATACTCAGTTAAAAATGTACAAAAATTTAAATTTTTATAAATTTTTGCTAATTTTAATGATGTAACCCCTTATAATTTTCTGAAAAAATGGCCAAAAAATGTGTTTCTTTTTTTGTACCCAGAAAGATTCGCCAGTTTGTGCTGATCAAGAATATATATAGTTTATAGGGTCGGAAATGACTCCTTCACAATGTTTTAAGCTTCAGACTGAAATGATAATACCCTATTTATTCGCATTTCTTGATTCAATATTTATTAATATTTTTAAGGCAATTTTTCGTAAAAACCAAAGCTTAAAAAATTCATAACTTAGCCAAAAATGCCTCAATTTCGATACGGAAGCCAGTTCTGAGCTAGTTTTGAAAAGGTTTATAAATCTGCACACTCAGTTAAAAATGTACAAAAATTTAAATTTTTATAAATTTTTGCTAATTTTAATGATGTAACCCCTTATAATTTTCTAAAAAAATGGCCAAAAAATGTGTTTCTTTTTTTGTACCCAGAAAGATTCGCCAGTTTGTGCTGATCAAGAATATATATAGTTTATAGGGTCGGAAATGACTCCTTCACAATGTTTTAAGCTTCAGACTGAAATGATAATACCCTATTTATTCGCATTTCTTGATTCAATATTTATTAATATTTTTAAGGCAATTTTTCGTAAAAACCAAAGCTTAAAAAATTCATAACTTAGCCAAAAATGCCTCAATTTCGATACGGAAGCCAGTTCTGAGCTATTTTTGAAAAGGTTTATAAATCTGCATACTCAGTTAAAAATGTACAAAAATTTAAATTTTTATAAATTTTTGCTAATTTTAATGATGTAACCCCTTATAATTTTCTGAAAAAATGGCCAAAAAATGTGTTTCTTTTTTTGTACTCAGAAAGATTCGCCTGTTTGTGCTGATCAAAAATATATATGGTTTATAGGGTCGAAAATGACTCCTTCACAATGTTTTAAGCTTCAGACTGAAATGATAATACCCTATTTATTCGCATTTCTTGATTCAATATTTATTAATATTTTTAAGGCAAATTTTCGTAAAAACCAAAACCTTAAAAAATTCATAACTAAGCTAAAAACGCCTCAATTTCGATACGGAAGCCAGTTCTGAGCTTGTTTTGAAAAGGTTTATAAATCTGCATACTCAGTTTAAAATGTAAAAAATTTAAATTTTTATCAAATTTAGCTAATTTTAATGATTCAATGATTATAATTTTCTGAAAAAATGGCCAAAAAATGTGTTTCTTTTTTTGTACCCAGAAAGATTCGCCAGTTTGTGCTGATCAAGAATATATATACTTTATAGGGTCGGAAATGACTCCTTCACAATGTTTTAAGCTTCAGACTGAAATGATAATACCCTATTTATTCGCATTTCTTGATTCAATATTTATTAATATTTTTAAGGCAATTTTTCGTAAAAACCAAAGCTTAAAAAATTCATAACTTAGCCAAAAATGCCTCAATTTCGATACGGAAGCCAGTTCTGAGCTATTTTTGAAAAGGTCTATAAATCTGCATACTCAGTTAAAAATGTACAAAAATTTAAATTTTTATAAATTTTTGCTAATTTTAATGATGTAACCCCTTATAATTTTCTGAAAAAATGGCCAAAAAATGTGTTTCTTTTTTTGTACCCAGAAAGATTTGCCAGTTTGTGCTGATCAAGAATATATATAGTTTATAGGGTCGGAAATGACTCCTTCACAATGTTTTGAGCTTCAGACTGAAAGGATAATACCCTTTTTATTCGCATTTCTTGATTCAATATTTATTAATATTTTTAAGGCAATTTTTCGTAAAAACCAAAGCTTAAAAAATTCATAACTTAGCCAAAAATGCCTCAATTTCGATACGGAAACCAGTTCTGAGCTATTTTTGAAAAGGTCTATAAATCTGCATACTCAGTTAAAAATGTACAAAAATTTAAATTTTTATCAAATTTTGCTAATTTTAATGATGTAACCCCTTATAATTTTCTGAAAAAATGGCCAAAAAATGTGTTTCTTTTTTTGTACCCAGAAAGATACGTCAGTTTGTGCTGATCAAGAATATATATAGTTTATAGGGTCGGAAATGACTCCTTCACAATGTTTTAAGCTTCAGACTGAAATGATAATAACCTATTTATTCGCATTTCTTGATTCAATATTTATTAATATTTTTAAGGCAATTTTTCGTAAAAACCAAAGCTTAAAAAATGCATAACTTAGCCAAAAATGCCTCAATTTCGATACGGAAACCAGTTCTGAGCTATTTTTGAAAAGGTCTATAAATCTGCATACTCAGTTAAAAATGTACAAAAATTTAAATTTTTATCAAATTTTGCTAATTTTAATGATGTAACCCCTTATAATTTTCTGAAAAAATGGCCAAAAAATGTGTTTCTTTTTTTGTACCCAGAAAGATACGCCAGTTTGTGCTGATCAAGAATATATATAGTTTATAGGGTCGGAAATGACTCCTTCACAATGTTTTGAGCTTCAGACTGAAAGGATAATACCCTGTTTATTAGCATTTCTTGATTTAATATTTTTCTATATTTTTAAGGCAATTTTTTTTAAAACTAAAGCTTAAAAAATGCATAACTAACTAACCCAGAAAGATTTGCCTGCTTGTGCTGATCAAGAATATATATACATAGTTTATAGGGTCGGAAATGATTCCTTTATTGCTTTATAAGCTTCTGACTAGAATTAAAATACCCTCTTGGGATATCACTGTGCAACTGATACATGATATTTATATATATCTATATATATATGTATATAATATAATAATATAATTGTCATGGTTAAAACTTACCGCAGTAGTAATTATATCAGCGAAGTTAGCTTCCTCCAGTTATCCAGATGTATTCCATTGTCCAGGTGATATTTTTGAGGTCGAAGGGCTATCACTATCACTATCACCGTAGATGTTAACAGGAAGAAGGCCGCGAACAGAATGAGGTGAGTGCGACGGTTGTACCTGTATTTATAGTTCCCGAGCAGAGAGAAGCAAAGAGAAAGTGAGAGAGAGAGCGCGAGAGAGTAAGGGGTTCCTCTAGAGATAGCCCAAGGGGGTAATGGAAAGAAAGAGGCCTCCAGCGATACAGAGAGAGGCTTACATTAAACAATCGTTTTCATGGCAGCTATATAATATAGTCGTTTGATCCTGCCCGATCCAACTTATATACTATTTAGAGAAATAGCTTTAAAACTAAGAGAATAGTTGTGGGTAGAAAGGGACAGATGGACATTGTTTGATCGTCTCAATATATATGCATATATATAAATTCCAGGACACAACAAAGAACTCAGCCAAATTCCCAAGTTTCCCAGAAAATTCAACCAGCATCGAATTAGGCGGCTTAATTTGAATTTAAAAGGTTCCACGGGTAGGCCAAGCATGAAAAGGCCAGCAAAGGTAAACAAATTAGGGATATTTTACAAGCCACTTAGGGCTCCCACTCGGGAAAATACATATGTACATAATGCATTTACGAGCGGAAAAATATATTCACATAAACCGTTCTGGATATTTATTGGACAGCCATTAAAACAAAGCTTTAAAATAAATGCACACGCACGCCTACAGTCAAACTGTAGGCTAAGGCCACAAATTGGCATTAAATGCAGGTTAACAAGGAGTGGAGCGAGCCAGCCATGTGCGCCAGCTTAAAGTAATCGAGGAGCCGCTCAGAGCAGCTGCCTCCTATAAATGCACATTTTTTGGGGGAGGATATGGCAGCAACTGGCGTGGCTCATTCATAGAGTTTACGAAAAAGAATTGAAAAAAATATATACGTCTAGATAAATGCATTGGGTGGGTGGAACAGCCTCATTATCCGTTCGCAGTAATGTCTCCTTCCCGCTATTGCAGCAGGAAGAGAGCGGGCTTCTCTAGATACTGCTTCCAGACGTTCGAGAAGCTGGCCATGGTCACGCCATCGATCACACGGTGATCGGCGGACCAGCTGACGCTCATCACGTACGCCTTTACGACCTCGTCCTTGTCGTTGAAGCGCGGCACCGCCTTGGTCCTACCCATTGCTCCAATGGCCACCTGGGGAGCCATGATGCAAGGGTGCGTGTAGGTGCCGCCAATCTAAAAGAAATTTCAAGCTCCAACTCAAACGTCAAGGAGGGAATCTCAAGTTTACTTACAACACCAATGTTCGAGAGCGAGAAAGTGCCATCGGCAAAGTCGGTGGGTGTCAAAGAGCCAGTGCGTCCGCGCTCCACGAGAGCATTGAGATCCTTGGCTATCTCGATAATGTTCTTCTCCTGGCAGTTCTTAATGTTCGGCACTACCAGACCCTGGGGCGTGTCAATCGCCACGCTAATGTTGTGGGCACCCCTGTAGACCAGCGACTCATTGGCCAGATCCAAGGAGCTGTTCACAATGGGATACTTGGACAGGGCCACACTAGCGGCCTTGATGCAGAACGGCATGAATGTGAGCTTCGGCACGCCGTTCTCCTTGGCCACCGCCTGCAGTTGGTCCCTAAATTGCATCAACTGGGTCATGTCGATCTCATCGCTGTACGCAAAGTGAGGGATTTTCTGCAAATAGAAAGTTCATGAATAGCTCTTCCAGCCGAGTTTTAAAGTCAGAACTTACCAGGGATTCCGTCATGGACTTGAGCATGGCCTTGCGCACTCCCTTCAGCACCTCGACGCGATCAGCAGCGGCTGCCACAGGAGCTGGAGCAGCTGCAGGGGTGGTCGCAGCCGGAGCTGCTGACTTTTTGGCATGCGCCAGCGTGGGATGTGGCACATTGGTGCCGGGCGGCACCTGACCCAAATACTCCAATATGTCGCCCTTGAGCACACGTCCATTTCGGCCTGTTGCCGGAACCTTGGCCAGATCCAACTGATTCTCCTTGGCCAGGCGACGAACGGCCGGCGTAGCTGGTATAATCACACGACCGCCAGATTCGGATGCCGACGGTTTCACCTGCTCCGCTTCGCTGGCAGAACTACTGGATGAGGACGTAGTGTCCTCTTCCTCATCGTCGCCATCCTCTTCCACCACATCAAAGTCAAGCAGGGGTTTACCCACCAGCGCAATCTCATCGATGCTGTGGTAGATCTTGGTGATTTTGCCATCGTAGCGACTGGTGATGGTCACCGAGGCCTTGTCCGATTGCACCTCGCAGAGATTGTCGAACTGCTCGACGGTGTCGCCCACCTTGACGAACCACTCTTTGACGGTCACCTCGCGGATGCCCTCCCCAATGTCGCTGAGGTTGAAGGACACCTTCTTGTCCAGGCTGGGGGTCAAGTGCAGGCAGCGCCTTATCTATGAAAAAATTAAAGAATTTTAAACATTTTGTACACTATTTGGCCTTTAAGCTTTGAAATTGTATACTCCAGAATATTTTAATTGATTTTGAGGTATGTTTATTGCTTTAAACACAGTCTGATTAACTAATTAATATAAAAATGAAGTGAAATGGCAAGGCACTCACTGATCTTTGATCATCCTTTTTTTTTACCGTGCATAAACAACAAAAACTGCACAGATTAGAAAAGTGCAGAGTTGTCTTGCTCTCTCGCTCACACTCGCGCTAGGTGTTTGTGAGATTACGTAAGACATACACCCAGGCAGGCTTCGTGTTGTTTTTTTTTTTTTAACTGTTTGCCGGAGCTACTCACACTGGCCTGGGGGTGGGACATGCAGTTCCTGAGCAGCCAGCCGATAGCGCCATTCCGGAGCAGGTGGGTTGCCATTAGATGGGGACTTTGGGGGCCTGGAAGTGCACGAGGAAAATGTCGCGGATCGGTTCGAATGTCCGGCGATCGAGCAGGTGTGTGTGCGTGTGTTTGTGCTTGCGGAACAGATGATTCTAGCTGGAGATGGACAAGAAGAATGGCAATCGATAGCAGTGTTGGCACGATCAGTTGGTTTTTATCATTGGATCAGAAGTTCGCCTAAATCATTAATATATGCTTTATTGAGAAATAATACAAAATAAATTAAATAAAAACTTTAGAGAATATAATTAAGTAAGAAGATCGCAAAACTTTGGCACGCACCACCTATCGAAATATGTGTCCATCCCTAGGATCCAGCTGATCGAGGCTGCAGCGTGGGAGGCTCGGTCTTTACCAACACTGCACCTCATCGAAGAAACGTGAACGGCAAAATGGTAAGTTTTGAAATAAATAATCCTGAGAAAAACATTAATTATAATATATTAAAATACTCCAAAATACCAGACAAATCTGCGCAAGGAGCTAGAAAAGTGCAAGCACCCCAATAGTCGCAAGACCAAGGCGCTGGGCAAGAAGGCACGACGTCAGAACAACAAGCACAAAACGCGCCTCGGCCATGCTATTAAAAGTAACATCACAGGCGAGAAACTGAGCTGGTTCCTGGGCCAACTCGATGAGGACCGCACGGCGCCACTGAGTCCACAGGAGTTCGAGGATCTGATCGCCTTGTACTTCACGCGCTTCGACGAGGAGCTGGAGCAGATCAACCTAAAACAGTCGATTGGCAAGCACCGGGCGAACCAGCACGCCGCTCGCAAGGATGTGATCACAATGACACTGGAGAAGGAGCGCAACGAGTACCGCACCGGCGGCCTGGAGCTGCTGAATCTGTGCGATCCGCTGAAGTTGAAAATGTTGCGCGATTGGGACGGCAGCGCGTTGAGTGTGCAGCACCTGAAACTGGACCTCGTCTCGCACAACATGTTGCAGCGGCTCAAGGAGACGCCCAAGGAGTCCACGACGACAGGCGACCAAATGGAAATAGCCTAGTAAACATTGAGATAAATAAAATTATGTTGATGAAAATAAACAAAAACAAAATCTTTGTTGACATCGCATTGGGTTGTTGCCCAACACTTTTATCGATGTTTAACAGCTGTTCTGCGCTCAGCATGCTTCACAATAGGGCTGCCAGGTTCTTCGAGCTAACCACTCATCGCATGCATTGTAGTTTTAATTAACAGAAAAAATAAATACATAAGGGTAAAATGTCACTTAATATTTGACTTAAAAAAATAATAATTTAATGAATTTATTTGTATTTAGACACAAATTTATAGTCAAATTTATTTAATGGCCGATTGTCCGAACGATACCTACCCAGACATCTGTCAAGCCGATATTTCCCAGAAACCTGACAACCCTGCTTTGTGAACTTGAATTCTACTGTTTTGTGTGTGCGCCGATAAACCGAATTGTGGTGAAATATTCGTCTCGAAACGTGAGTTTTATTACATAAACAAACAGCGAGGAAAGCGAAAGTGAAACTTCTGCCCTTCATTGACTTGCAGCAGGAGCACACACACGCACATCTCCACATCCTAACGCAATGGGAGCCAGTACGTCCAAGGGAGTCGGAGTGGCCCAGGCAGCGGCTGCTCCAAGCATTCCGCCGGCCGAGCCCGTCAATGCCGCTGCCCCCGGCACCGGCGAGAAGCCCAAGTGCAAGGCTTGCTGCGCCTGCCCCGAGACGAAGCGTGCACGTGACGCCTGGTGAGTGTTCCTCCGGCATTATGACGCAACCGATAAGCTAATGCCCTGTAATGCATCTTCCTCAGCATTGTGGAGAATGGCGAGGAGAACTGCTCGTCGCTGATTGAGGCGCACAAGAAGTGCATGCGGGATGCCGGCTTCAATATCTAGATGGTAGTCCTATTCAAAGAGTCCCCAGTGCCAGAGACCCTTGATCCAATGCAACGCTCCTCCTCCCATTGTTTTTGTTTCTGTTGTATCTCAAGCTAATTATAGATCTAAATTAATTGAAAATCCCAGAGCCCTGTAAGTGTTGTTCTTCGGGAAAAGGCTATAATTTGTTATCTTATTACTTTGTTTCAAATACTTCTTCTATTTCCGATCTTAACGAGTTACCATTTCAAAAATCAGATATTTAAAGTCATAGGGAATCGTTGTTTTTGGACAAAACAAGGTCTTATCTTTGAAAGATTTTATACATTTTATTGCTGCTTTAACGGTCAGTTAATTTATTTGAAATATAAGGTACAAAGTGGCCTTCAAGCAAGGTTTTTTGATAAAGCTAGGCTTCCTTCTTTCTCTTCCCCTCCCTCTCCCTCCATTTAAATGAAGCTTAGAGTACGCAGAGCAACCACGGCGCCCATGTAGAAGGTTATGCACAGCATCGTCGCAAAGGCCAATATTCTCGAGGGCTGTGGCACCGGATACACGGCATAAACTAGAGTGTGTATAATCCTGGCCACACCGGCCACGCGGAACAGATTGCAGGCCACATCGGCATTCGGATTCGTGCTTATATAGATCAAGGACATGATGAAATAGGGCAGGATGTTCTCCATATCATTGCGATGGGCCCTACAAAAAACGCAAATGAGGAACGTTAGAAACAACACGATGGTATGAGACCCACACAACCCACCTTCGTACCCGCTCCACATGCGGATCATCAAACTTAACCTCCAGATTCTTGAAGAACAGATCCTCCTCGTTGGGGAAGATCTACAAAGAGCATACAGACATTCTTTAGAAACTGGTTTGGTGATGACTAAAGGGCTTTACCTTGCGCCGCAGCGCCAGCGGAACGAGCCCCAGCAGCTGTGAATGGAATGAAATGGATGGCGCTATTGATGACCTTTGAGCCAGTGCAGTGATGGCAAACCTACCTTATACCGGAAACGCTGCAGAGCCGTTAGCAGGGACATGAGCAGCATCTTCACCACCAGCACCGTGGCCCAGAAGAGATAGCAGCAGAAGACGGGGTTATCCAGGGTAAACAGCATCTCCTTGGATGGCGGCATCGCCTGGCTGGCATTGGTACTGGCTGGACTGGACATCGCGATGACTGCTACTGGCTTTTAGCTGTGCGTGCTTGCTCTTCGGGGCGACTTGGTGAAATGATTGAGCTGAGCGGAGACGCTCTCCTAGCTTCTGAGCACATGTGGAGGCTGGCCAAACTGGTTATGAACTGCGTCGAAGCGAATTATTGGTGCTGTGCTGCTAGCACTTAAGCTTTACCTAGCTGGGGTGGCAAAATGTCTAGAAATACGAGGCAATAACGAAGCAAAACAAGTTCCTATGTATTAAGTATAGCATTTTTTAACTGCAATGCAAATTCTTTTTAATTATAATCTACTTTTGCCCAAGGGTATTCCATTTTCAGCTTAAATTGTGTAAGAAACAGCGAAAATAAGGAACTATTTCGGTAGTTCTTTCTTGCCCTAAATGTATTTCAAACAGCAGACGAATACGTAGCCAGCCTCGAAGAAGGTAATGGCAAAGGTGGTGAGAAAGGCCAATCCACGAGCCGGCTGAGGCACCGGAATGACCGCATAGACAACGGTGTGCAGCAGCCGGGCACTGGCTCCGATGCGGATGAGCAGGCGGGCTGTGAGGGGATTCGGTCCGGTGGCCACATATGCCAGCGACATCAGAATGAAGGGCAAAACGTTCTCCAAATCGTTGCGATGGGCCCTGAAGGAGATCACAATTATTCCAATTGATTTTTTGTGACGGAGATCCCAACTTACCGCCTCACTCGCTCCACATTGGGATCTCCGAAGCGCACCTCCAGGCCTCCTCGCACGTCCTCAGGATTGGCAAACGTCTTAGTCTTCATACGCTGTCGTGCGGTGAGCAGGGACATAAGCAGCATCTTCATAACTAGGAGACTGGTCCAGAACATATAGCAGCCAAAGACTGGGTTTGATTTGCTCAAAAGAATCAGCGAGAAACCGGAACCGGGTGAGGAGTCGGGATCGGAATAGGAGACGACGGCAGGCGTAGACATGGTGGCCATTGTTCCGTTTTCCATGACCAAGAACTTCTCACGTCAAGCTCTCGCAGACAACTGCCTACGAGTGTCCTGCGGCCAATCGGTGGGAAGAAAGTAGGCCCAACAGGTGTCCGGGTTCCCGGAACTGACCTAATTTAAACACTATTATTATTTCATTATTTCGAGAAATGGGTGCAGGCTTTCGTCATTTTAAAGGCTATTCCGAGAAATATTTAATTGGTTTGCAGAATTTCGATTGCCATAATTTCCATTCATTATTATAATTAAGATTACTTAGTTGTAATAATATATCAATAATTTACATTTAGAGTATAATATTAACTTCAGGTTTCGACTTTCTAAGGACTGAAAGAGAGTAAATTAAATCAATAATACAAAATATCTTATCCATCTTTTTATCAACACACCCTTGAAGTGTATTATCATATCAGTCTGAAGCTTATAGCACTGTGAAGGAGTCATTTCCGACCCTTTAATCTATATATATTCTTGATCAGCACAAAAAGGCGAATCTTTCTGGGTACAAAAAAAGAAACACATTTTTTGGCAATTTTTTAATAAAAAAATATGTGGTAACATCGTTAAAATTGATAAAAATTTAAATTTTTTTTACATTTTAAACTGAGTATGCAGAGTTTTTAACCTATTCAAAACTAGCTCAGAACTGGCTTCCGTTTCAAAATTAATGCATTTTTGGCTTAGTTATAAAATTTTTAAGAATTGGTTTCTACTAAAAATTGTCTAAAAAATATAGATAAATATTGACGAATTATAATTTAAGTCTGAAGCTTAAAACATTGTAAAGGAGTCATTTCCGACCCTATAAACTATATATATTCTTGATCAGCACAAACAGGCGAATCTTTCTGGGTATAAAAAAGAAAAACAAATTTTTTAGCAATTTTTTCTCTAAAAAAATATAAGGGGTTAAATCGTTAAAATTGATAAAAATTTAAATTTTTTTACATTTTAAACTGAGTATGCAGAGTTTTTAACCTATTCAAAACTAGCTCAGAACTGGCTTCCGTTTCAAAATTAATGCATTTTTGGCTTAGTTATAAAATTTTTAAGCATTGGTTTCTACTAAAAATTGTCTTAAAAATATAGATAAATATTGACGAATTATAATTTCAGTGTGAAGCTTAAAACATTGTAAAGGAGTCATTTCCGACCCTATAAACTATATATATTCTTGATCAGCACAAACAGGCGAATCTTTCTGAGTATAAAAAAGAAAAACAAATTTTTTGGCAATTTTTTTTATAAAAAATATAAAAGTAACAACGTTGAAATTGATAAAAATTTAAATTTTTTTTACATTTTAAACTGAGTATGCAGAGTTTTTAACCTATTCAAAACTAGCTCAGAACTGGCTTCCGTTTCAAAATTAATTCATTTTTGGCTTAGTTATGAAATTTTTAAGCATTGGTTTCTACTAAAAATTGTCTTAAAAATATAGATAAATATTGACGAATTATAATTTCAGTCTGAAGCTTAAAACATTGTAAAGGAGTCATTTCCGACCCTATAAACTATATATATTCTTGATCAGCACAAAAAGGCGAATCTTTCTGGGTATAAAAAAGAAAAACAAATTTTTTGGCAACTTTTTCTCTAAAAAAATATAAGGGGTTATTCGTTAAAATTGATAAAAACTTAAATTTTTTTACATTTTAAACTGAGTACGCAAAGTTTTTAACCTATTCAAAACTAGCTCAGAACTGCCTTCCGTTTCAAAATTAATAAATTTTTGGCTTAGTTATGAAATTTTTAAGAATTGGTTTCTTCTAAAAATTGTCTTAAAAATATAGATAAATATTGACGAATTATAATTTCAGTCTGAAGCTTAAAACATTGTAAAGGAGTCATTTCCGACCCTATAAACTATATATATTCTTGATCAGCACAAAAAGGCGAATCTTTCTGGGTATAAAAAAGAAAAACAAATTTTTTGGCAACTTTTTCTCTAAAAAATATAAGGGGTTATTCGTTAAAATTGATAAAAACTTAAATTTTTTTACATTTTAAACTGAGTACGCAAAGTTTTTAACCTATTCAAAACTAGCTCAGAACTGGCTTCCGTTTCAAAATTAATACATTTTTGGCTTAGTTATGAAATTTTTAAACATTGGTTTCTACTAAAAATTGTCTTAAAAATATAGATAAATATTGACGAATTATAATTTCAGTCTGAAGCTTAAAACATTGTGAAGGAGTCATTTCCGACCCTATAAACTATATATATTCTTGATCAGCACAAAAAGGCGAATCTTTCTGGGTAGAAAAAAGAAAAACACATTTTTTTGAAATTTTTTTTAATATTATTATTATCCGGCTCAAAAATCACTCTAATTTATACACTATAAATCAATAAATTTGTGCTAGTAAATATATATGAACATATATATATGTATATATTTTTACAGTGTGTTTTCTTGCTGAAATTGTTGATTTCCCAAAAATTTTCTTAATGTTTCCATTTTTGGGGCCCATCGAATTGGACGACTTTTGAAAGCAAACAAGCTTTGCACCCGCTTTGCACCGACAATTGTCCAAAACACCTGTACTTGTACTTATTTATCTACGCGCGATGACGTATTCCACGCTCTTGTCTAAATTTAGTCAGAGAGTTCCATTTGATTCTAGTTTGCTTTCTGCTTCTGTTTCTGCTTTTTTTGGTAATTAATTTATTTTTTTCTTCAACGATGACAACGAATTTTCTTAGCGACCAAGTCGGCGTCATAAGTTGTATGGGATCCAAAGTCCAAACTCAACCAGACGACTTTTTGTCGGTTCTGTTCTGGTTCTTTTTTATTTCCTTTCTGACAAATGACGAATATGCAGAACCAGAACCATTATCTTTATCATATGTATATATTTTTTAAATTAATCAATCGAAAAACATATTATTTAGCCTCTACCAAAAATATATAATATGTAAAGTTAATGGATATAATTATTTGTACCTCTGGGAAATGTATTAGGAAAAGTATTTTATTAACTTCTGTCATCAAAAGCTATATCCATACCAAATTTCAGAACGAAAGAAGGCACAAAAGCCAAGTTACATGAGACTCAACTCCAGTAATTTGGGTTCAAGAAATTCTCAAGTAATGTAGAGAAACTTTCAGCTTACCAGAATCACTTTAAAGTAAGAGTAAAAATAGATTATATTAAACTTAGAAGAAATTCAGTCTCATCATGGAATGATTTTTCAGAAATATGTGCAATCAAACTCTGGAGTTGGACTCGAGAGCGATTTGAAACCCGTGTGTCACTAGATTGCGATAAGGTATGGCGAACTTTGTTTAATAAGTGGCTTAAAGGCTTATACCTCATAACGATAACTGGCGACAATTATAAAACAAAGGCATTAAATGAATGGGGCAGAGTATAAAAAGAAAATAAATGATTCCCTTATCAGTGCCGTCCCATCCAGAGCAACGACTAAAAAGTAAATAAAAACTAAATAAAATCAGCAAGCGACTCATTCGCCTTTCACATGTGTGTTTGCACATCCAAACAATACATATAATTCGAGGAACTCACTCACTCACTCACTTTCCGATTCAAAGTCCGTCTATATGTCATCGTTACCTGAATGTGTTTCCTCCTTTGGTCTATATATAGACCAAGTCCATAGGCCTCTGAAGAAATGCCCCTGGATGCGATCTCGGACAGCAGTATGTCCAAAATCCAATGGAATTCTAGACTCGACCATTCGGGAAAATACCCGCAGAGACGTACGGAACCGATAACAAGTCGTATATAAGTATATTTGTATAAAGATATATATGTATGAATGTTTCTATACTGATGATATGACGGGGCCTGCTGTGTAGCCCATAGACTCTGGCTATAGTGGCTATAGTCTTGTGTCTACGTGTGACTATTAATCGGATTATTTCAATATTATTTGATTTTGGTCAGCTGATGAAATCAGAAAACAACACGACACGATCCTATTAATCATCCAGCTAAGAGATGTAACCAAGGAATATGTATATTTTGAGTTCGAAACTAGAAAAGCTTGCCATAGGATTGCATGCTTCTGAGGGTATTACGATATTAACAATTCTAAAACCCCATTGGCATTACGTTTGTACAAATATATCAAATCAAATCAAATAAGCAAACGTATTTGAAGTGATTTCCTGCGTCTAATGTCATAAACCCATTGAGATACTGCGATTTTAAAGTCCCCCGATAAATCGTAAAGTCCAGAGAACGGTGGGAAGGAAGGTGTCGTCGGGGTTACATCGTTTATTTACAATTTACGGCGATATCGGTGATTGGAGCTCCCGGTACCAGACCGATTGCCGATAAGCAATAATAAAATGGGCACCTGGCACCTCTTGGTTACAACATAAGCCATAAATGTGACGACACTGCTGGACTTTGAGTTGGGCTTTATTTAGCCTTCTAAATCTCGAGGGCCTGGTTAATATGCGCATTTATGGTCGGGTCGCTTTAGGCCTTATCAGACAGACATAATTGCTTTATAGAGCGCATAATTCTCTGAGGACAGTAACCCATTTCGATTATGGCACTATTAATATTGGATTACCTTGGGTGTAAACAGTTGGACATTTGTATTTTTGTTAAAAAGAAACTATAATAAATTTAAATTTTTCCCAGCTGTGCTTGTATGACCAGAACTCCTCTGGGGATTCCGTTGAAGTCTGGGGACCCAAAAGTGATGAAACTTAAGACCCATCTTAATAAACACATAATACAGCAATTACTAAAGAAGAATCACCATCGGACGACGAAAGCTTCGCTCATAAGTTCTGATAATTTGTTTTCGTTTTCTCAAATGCCGGACTTTGGAATGCAAAGCGAATTACACAGCATTTGGGGAGCATTACGTAGGGAAGAGAGCCAGAGTAATCGCGGGAGAATATGTGGATGTGAACGTGAATGTGCAGTGGCGGCGCACAATGTACATTTGTATTATCGATGCGGTGGCAGGGGTTCAAAGTTCGCACGAAGCATTTGCGTGGCGGAGCTGCCCATTGGCCATTGATAAGTACTTATATGTGTGTACCGTGTACGTATGTGGACCGACATCTATTGGAATGTACTTTCAATCTAAACTCTGTTTGTCGCCCCGACAACACTGCGTATTATTAATCTAGTTGTCAAGCATGGCGACCAAACACAGGCGCTATCTGCCTCTCCCCCAAGCATCGCACTCGCTCGCACTTTCTTTGCCGTAGAAAGGCAATAAACAACACAATAATATTCTCGACATGCCCACTTTTCTTTTGTTAGCTGCAGGTGTCGCTGCTGTTGTTGTTATTTTATTCAGCGAATTTGCTAATTGGTTTTATGCGAATTCGCTGTTTCGGTTTTATTTTAAAATCTCAAAGCCTGGCGGCAATATCGAGTGTGACCAGTAGCAGTGGAAGCAAACAATCCTCAAAACCGTTAAAGTTCTCTCACTCTCCCTCTCTCGGATTGAGAGAGCCAAGCTCAGTGTTGCCAGGCTAAAATCACCAATACTAGCTAGATTCTGAGCAAATATAATAAAATAATAATTAAAATATGAATAAAATGCAAGATCGTTGCTAAAACTGAAGCTTAGTTAACACATATAATTATTATTACACGTACCAATTAGGAATTCTATGTATGGAACTTCTACTCCATCCTTAAAATTTTCAATGAAAATTCCACAACATTGTTCTGTAAATGTATATGACATTTACGCGAAATTTTTCGTCGCCAAAAACGAGAATTAATTATTAACTAAAAAAGACTAAGAAAAGCAATTTAAACATTGTTAAAGGGTTGATTTAATGTTAATTGTACTTAACTATTTATTTCTGTAATATATATTTAAGAAAATAAAAAAATATATTACAATTTTAAAAAATTCATAGTTTATATGTAGCTTTTATTATTATATAAATCCTTAAATGCAATAACTAATGCATGTATTGCTAAATTAACATTAAAATACTTTATTTTAAGGCTATATACTAGTGGCAAATTTTATAAACTCGTCAATTTTTCATCGCTAAACACGGAGATTAATTATTAAGGATATAAGGATAAAACAAAAACAAATTTAAGGAGTATTTAAGGGTTGATTTAAAGCTAATTGTATTATTACTTTTTATTACTGTACCATATGTATATATGAGAGAAAAATATGAAATATATACAAAGTTTATATGTTTTTTAATTATATAAATCTTTAAGTGTAATAACGAATGAATTTATTGCTAAATTCAATTAAAATAATCTATTTCTAAGGCTTTAAGTTAGTGGAAAATTTCATAAAGACATCCGATTTACATTATGCCAGATCTAGCTTGACACGAGCTAAACTGTCAACACTGGCCAAACCTATATATAGCAATGCAAGCGATCGGAAAATCAAATATTAAAAATTGCCCCAACGGACGTGCTCCAAAGATAGAAAAGTGATCCACGTATTCCACAGTTCCTTTTGACCGCTATACTTTGCCCTGCCTCGCTTAACCCGCTGTCCGCTTTTTTTTTCGTTCGTGAAAGAAAGAAACAAGGAGAAAAGTGACGTGACGTGCCAAGCGAAAGAGCTTGAAAAAAAAAAACACTAGAAAGCCGAAAAAGTGAAAAAAGCAGAACACACAAATTTATAAAAAGAACAATGGCCAGTGCAGATCAGAAACACGCCACCGGCAATGGCTCAGCCGGCAACGGAACACTTGCCGAAGATCAGCCCAAGGACGCCAAGGACCTGTTGCCGCACCTGGAGTCCCTCGAGCGGATCATCAAGCTCCCCGTGGTCAATGCGGCGTGGGACAAATCGCAGGATGTCTATGGCAAAGTAAAAGGTAAGTCGAAATGGAGGACAAGCGCGGTGCAAAAGTGCATTGAACTCCCGCAGCGAGTAACGGGGCGCCCCGCCTAACGGCACAGAAAACCAAAAACCAAAAGAGAGGCCGAAGCAGAAACCACAACAAGAACAACAATGTGCAACGGCAAATGCAGAGCGCATGCAATCAAAACCGAAAACGAAACTGAAAACGAAACAGAAACCGAAACCGAAACCGTTGCGTTTGCGTTTGCGTTCGCGCTGGTTCGACTTCGCCATTTTAATTCGCGTTCGAGCTCGAGCTCGAGTTCGAATCTCGAATGTGGAGTCCAACTCGGCGGAGTTTTTAATTGCCCGGCAATGGGTGGGAATTAGGCTCAATTGATGTTAATTGATTGCAAGCAGGCGGTCAATAATCGAAATCACGGCAGCAGTGCGAATACAACAACAGCCATGACCTAGCACCACCACCAACAATAAAACCAGCTACGTCCGGCACTTTGCCCTCGTGACGCGCGGCGTACAAAGTTCGTTCAAAATTTACATAATAAAAACTTGGCCAAAGAAAAATGTGGTGCGAGCCAGGGATAGAGATAGAAAGAAAGAGCGAGAGCGAGAGCGACGGACCACCGCACGTAGGCTGCAGTCGCAAAGGCGCCGATAGCGATGGGGGTCTCGTTTCGAGAGGAGAAATAGGCAGGCAGAGCAGACCCCATCGCCACGCCACTGCGACGCTCTCTGGGGGCGAGCAGTGTTGCCATAGTTAACTGCAAAAGTAGCTGAAATCTCAATCTGATGTAGGATTATATAAAATTTATGATTTTCCATTATTATTAACGAAATTGCATTATTCCATTAGCTTCCACATGTTCTTGTTAAATCTAATTTATTGAATGATTTATTTATTCGTTCATATTCGGTAGCTGTTAGCACGCATATTGTTGTGGAACCCATAAATAGATTAGGATTAGCTATGACTCAAACTAGTCGCAGCTAGTATTAAACTTGTGGAATGCCCCACGACTTAGCTGGAAACTAGCCTTCTAGCAGCTGGCAACACTGTTGCTGATTGGACTTTCGACTTGTTTGTGATATTCCGGTGCTTGGCACTCGCACACACACACGCACACTCTCTTATTGGATGATGTGTTTGAGGAATGACGAACTATCAAAGGTCTAAACTCGTCGTCGTCGTCGTTGTCGTCGTCGTCGCAGTCGCAGACAGATAGAGAAAGATCGTAACGAACGCAATGGAGGGGTGGGGTGGAATGGGGGGGCGCCTTGCAATCCTGAACTGAACTGCGCAGTTTTTTTTGCTTATCAGTGAGAACTGGCAGGCGGCGGCGGCGGCGCTGCTGCTATAATTATTGCTTTTTGTTGCAACAACTGATAAGGCGTCTTGTCACATGTGGCACCAACAGTTCCAGAACTTTTCCAACAAATCCATCAATATCCGCTCCTTTGCATTGTTTTCCAGGGAAGAACCGCGTCTTCGAATGGGCCCTGACGGCCGCCGAGGATTGTGTGACGCGTGCCGTGACGACAGCAGCTCCATTCGTCACCAAGTTGGACCGACCCATCGCCTATGTGGACCAGACCCTGGTCAAGGGCATCGACAAGCTGGAGGTGAAGGCACCGATCATCAAGGACACACCCCAGGAGATCTACAATCAGGCCAAGAGCAAGGTGATCGATGTGGTCCAGCCGCACCTGGAGCGCGTGGTCAAGTTCAAGGCGGCCGGCCAGCAGAAGGCGGCCTCCCTGAAGGATCTCGCCTGGCAGAAGGCCAACGAGGTCCTGGCCACGCAATACGGCAGCCTGGCCGTCAATGGTGTGGACACCACCACAGCGCTGGCCGAGCGCCTGCTCGAGTACTATTTCCCCAAGTGCGAGTCCGATGTGGAGGAGGATAATGGTGAGTGTCCTAGCCCCTAGGCAGGGTTTATCCATGCCCGTTTTCACTTCAAATTTGCATCAATTCAACGTAATGTCTGTGCAAATGGTCGGATAAAGCGCCGTAAAACTAGTTCATTATTAACTTTTCGAGCTCATTAAATAATTCGAAAAAAGTGCACTTGGCTTTTGTGAAACCAAAATAAACTTTAGGCTAAAAGTTGAGAAAAGAAACGTATTTATTTGGCTTCCTTCCATTTCCGTTTTTTTTTCTTTGAGCGGTGTGTAAACAAAATGCTAAAAATAAATCGTAAATATTTTTAATTCTCAGATGATAAACAAAATGCCGTCGTGCAAAATGGCAAGAGTTCTGAAAATGACAGTAAGTTCCTCCTCCCAAAAAAGAAACCCCTTCGATCCGATCTGTCCAGATTCGCTCGTTCGTTTCTTTTCTATTCGATTCGTATCTACTAACACACACTGGCTTAATTTTCACTAAACATTATGTTTAAAAATAGCTAACAAACAGAAAAGCATGAACACTAATCAAGCATGAAGAACAATAATAATAATAATATAATAAATGTGCAGCACACAAAAGAAATATCACACCAATATAATCGCTAAGAGACAAACAAATGAAATGAAATGTTTTGAAAATATCGATTTTTAAAATTTAAATACATGTCCAAGTTATATACATAGGACTTATCTAAGTAGGACTTTTTCTTTCGGTTTACCAACTAGATTTTGAAAATGTGGGAATTATTTTAGGGTTTGCCTTAAACCTGAATCTGATCCCGAACCTGATCCTGATCCGCCCCTTTAACACTGTTATTAACACTGCCAGTGACTAATTTTCTAAATTAATCAACTCTTTCTCTCTATCTCTTATCTCTTTTCCGCGCCTATTCGTTAGTTATTGTTGTTGGGGAGAAGACCTACGACCAGGATCACGATCAAGAGATTGATGATAGATTCTTAGTGGCCGCCTCGACGGTATTTCTGTCCATGTCCTTGAAAATCATAACCGAAATTGTTGAGTACGTTAGAAGAAATCCAGAGATCGTAGGCATTATCGATAGGGAACTCAACAAGTTTATGGTAAGCACACATACACTGAAAAGAAACAAAACGCAAACCAAAGAACACATCCCACTCACACTCTGCATTAACCCGAAACTTTTGATCGAATAACTTGCAAACACTAACACATCTGGCTAAGCGAACCCTCGATTTTTGGGCCCATTTTAATGACAACATTTCCTTTGCAGTGCCAGTTCCCGCCAGCGAGGATCCAGTCCTACACACAGTCCAGACGGTTGGACGGCTATCCAACAAGATCTCGCGTCGCGTCTATCGAAATGTCTCCCGACAGATCAAGCAGGTCCAGAAGGGCAACATCAACGACTATCTGAGCTCCCTGATAGCCGCCCTGAAGCTGCATCAGTACATCAACTTTATAAACTCATCGATGGGCACCAATGTGGAGCAGTCGACGCTGGCCAGTGACACCTGTTCGCCCTTCGGCGGAGTCGCCACCAACAGCAGCAACAGCAACACCAACACCAACACCAACGTTAACTCCAACTCCAACTCCAACTCCTCGGGAGCGGCTGTGGCCAAGAGCAAACCAGCGGCGGCGTCGTCGTCTCAGTAAAGATATATACAAAACATATCTGAAGCTTAGATATTATCTATCACACACACACACATCCTGCACGCATATCCCAAGACCCACACCGCCCATATTTTTTTTTCTTAATTATATTTTTATAATTTCGTTTTTTTTTAAAATTTTGTTGCAAAAATTTATACTTTAAAATATAAAAAGAAAGGGATCAATTAGCAAAGAACAAGAAATAAGTGTGCAACAGCAGCCTCCCTTTTTGATTTGTAAATATTTATTTGAAGTATATAGCCAGCCTTCAGCACACCCGTACACACACCCCCCCCCACACACACACCACCTTAGCCTGTAAGTTGTAGTCGTTAGATTGAGATCGGGAGTAAGAAGAGACGGACGATCCTTCGTCGATTTTAGCTGTGCTAAAAGGCGTCCAAAGTGCCACTTGCATTGAATATAATATACATACTATATATACGCCTATATATACCTAAAATATATACACTGATATATATAAATATATACACACATTGGCCTAGATAGTGTGGGTTAGCTCTACGTATACGTAATCTTAATGTCTAAATCTATTTTTTATTCTCTACGCTCACTGGAAGCCCCTAAAACCAGATGATGTCTAATTGCTAATGAAAATGAATTATGCCTAATATATATACACACACACACACCCCAAAGCCACACACACCCACACACATACACAACACACACTTGTATGAAGAACCTAGCCATAATGTTTGCTCTAAACAACAACTAGTTTGATACTATTAAATATTATTAATAATAATAAAAAGAAGAGAAAACCAACGCAAAACTGGAACGAAGAACAAGAACGATCTTTAATTACTTCCCCCCAACTCCAGTGAACGATAGTGTTCGGAACTATATGTATATATGCTATAGGCAATACTATGTACTATGTATATCCCTTATCTGATTGGTCGTCTTATCGGGACAGCGTTCCCCGGTCCGCTGATTTATATGAGAGTTCAGTGTAGAGTTCAGCCAGAGGCGAACGGAATGGAATTTATAGAACAGATAAGGTTCCTTTCCTCTATATATATATACATATATAGAAATATATACAAACATGTGATAATTAAGTGCGTTCTCAGCAGAGCTATTGTATCGTATAAAGGGATTTAATTTTAATTTTAAACTAATTTGCAACTACTTTATCCCTATATCTAGCCGCATTATTTGTTATTAAACAAGAAAGGAAACTAATTGAATTTTAGGATTGAATCGGAAATCGATCTAAAGTAAGCTTGAAATATTCGCATTTTATATAAGAACTTTTTCCGACAAATCAAAATTTCAGAAACTCATAACTTGGCCAAAACAGCCTTAATTTTAATTCGGAAAGCAGTCCTATGTTAGTTTTTCTTTGGTTAATAAATCTGCAAACTATATTTAAAATTTTAAATTTTATAAATTTTTGAAAATTTTAACCATGTAACCCCTTATAAAATTGTGAAAAAATTTGAAAATATTTTTTGTTTGCCTAAGATGGCTAGATCGATTCGCCTGTTGATGCTGATCAAGAATATATATGGTTTATAGGGTCGGAAATGACTCCTTCACTGTGTTACTTCTAACTGAAAGTATAATATCCTGGAAAGGGTATAAGAAATCATGTTAAAGGCTACCCAGATAGATTCCATTTCGACTAGGTCACTTTCTTAGGGTGTCCACTGTACTGTCGGCACTGGACTCTGCATCTCTTCCTGTCTCTGTCGATAATGACGGCGTTAATGGCCCTGCAATTATCCTTTTTTTTCAGATGGGGCAAGTTCGTCGTCTGAATTTCAGCTACCTCCAACTCCTCCTCCTGCTCCTCCTCATTTGTATTTGTTCCACGTCCACGAGGAACACGGAGTCCAGGAATCAATCTCAGCATACCTGGCATAATTTCGAGTTTTGCTAAATGCATTTTGGGGCCGCAAAATATTCATGAGTCGCCGCCAGAAAAGGGCTTCTTCTTCGTTGGGTACACCTTTGGCGGTGGAATCCCAAAGCGACGACGACTAGTTGGACGGGTTCCCGAAACCGCAGACGCAGTCATCGATCCTACATACATACATATGTTTGTAGCAAACAAAATAATACAACATAAATCCGGTTTTTAATTCATTTTCATGTTAGGAACTTCAAGGAATTACGTAAAACCCTTTGGGAAATCATTCAAAACAATCAGCAATCCTTCAAGATCAATTCTTCCACCTCACATGTCCACATTTTCTTTGTGTGTACTCAAAGATCGCAAAGGTAATGATAGTTTTGGGTATTGGCTAACCGCAAGGTGTACTCAAAGATGTTAATGGAGTCGCACTTTGGACCCCAGACTCAGACTCTTCCCCAAGCGCAACGATGACGAGGCCCGGTCTCCTCCTGGCCCCTCCGTTGGCAACCGCAATTCTTCTTATCGCGGAGAAAGAGAGGCAGAGGGATAGAGAGAGAGAGAGAGAGAGCCATAAAGGCTAACTATAAACGTAATCAAGAATTTGACGTACAGGCAGAGCTATAAAAAATTGAATGACTTAATAAAAACACAAAGAGAGAGAGAGTGAGGGGAGAAATTAACTCAGAAAGTGAGAGAGAGAGTGGGAGAGCGGAAGAAAGGTGGCTAAGCCAGAGGCGATGCGTCAAGGGGGATCTGCTTATATAGCAAAGATTATTATAGATTTTTTACTTAAATATATAAGGGGATATAAATATAATAGTATGTAATAATAACAAATATATTTCTAATATAATTATAATAATAAATCCCAATTTGTAAGCTGTGATTGTCCCTGATATGACCCCTCACTGGATCCGCCCCTGACTTAAAGCCCCAGGATGAGCCCGGCGGAAGAGGCGTGGCAGCCCCCCCCCAATCGTCGAGAGTGCAAGCTAGCCGGAGAGCAGCAGGAGAGAGAGCGAGATCGGGGGATCGGGAGAGTTCAAAGTACAGAAAGTGGCGTGATTCTTATTATTAATTCTCTCGCTTTTGATTATTGAGTATTGTGCATATGGCGTATTATGGTGAGCATTATGTACGAATAATGCCGAGTACTCTGATCTCTCAGTGCATCTGTTGCACTTTTGCCGTGCGTCACAGACATCGTAAAACGATACAATATTATATAGTGTATCTCTCGGATACTACCAGTTTAAGGGAATTATTTTGTCTTTTTTTTAAAGTGTTTTAGAAAATTACCCCCACTGATTGGTGTTTTAATTTTATTCCCAAGATTAAAATACCTATAAAACAATATTACAATGAAACCTGAGAAGTTATTATAAAAATAAACACATGTACTGTTGTGTAATTATTTATTCTACTGTATAATTGATTTATGCATGTCAATTGTTGTTAATAAAAAAAAAACACTTAAAATAACACCCACATATATATTTTTTACAAATTTATTTCCGCAGCTAGTTGAGCTCAATTGGGAAGTGATCGATTGATCGATCGCTGATAAAGCCCACCTCATATTCCTCCTCCCCCTCCTTGTTTTCCGCCTCCATCCTCCTCCTTAGCCACCTGATCTCCCCAGGCGGCGTCGCACATTGCTTTGGCCTTGACTTTGTTCTTATCACCGGCGTTATCAATGCCCCAGTGGCGTCAGGTGGGGTCTAGCTGGAGGAGGAGGGGCCGGAGGAGGAGACGGAGCTTCAGCGAGAGGTGGCAGGTCAAAGTGTGGCTGCTCGCAGAGCGTGAGACTCCGGCCAAGATGTCCGGCTATGATTTGGACCATGTGCCTGGCCAACGGCGGAGCGGTGAGCACCCGACGAAGCAGGGACCAGGTGTAGCTCAGCAGGGACATGGCATAGTAGTGGTGGTTCTCTGGCACCAGCCTGAGGTGCTTCTCCTTATCAGCCTTATCATCCCTATGCCGGACATCCTTCACCTGTTGATCCTCCTGCGACTTGGCCTTCTTTTGATTTCTTTTCTGACGCTTTTGAGTCTTCTTCGAAATGTTATTATTATTACGATCTGAATCTTTGGACTCTTCTCGAAATGCCTGAGGTGCTTCACCTGGATTCAGTTCCTCCTTCCGCTTCGCCTCGATCTCCTCCTGCTTATGGATCCAGCTGACCATATCGCCATCCTGCCGCCTGTAGCTCTCCTTAAGCAGACTATTCCGGTGCAGAAAGTGGAGGGCATCATCGTATCCCTGCTGGCAGAAATTGGCCACGAAATCGGATCGTCCTGGGAGCAGGATGCCCACAATGCGACGCAGGTTCCGCCGGGACAAACGGATCTTGTTGTTGGCCCAGTTGATATGCAGCTGGAGTAGATGGGGGCTCTGGTCACGGGGACAGATGTCGCTCTCGCCGCAAAAGGGACTCACGGTCACCGTGTGCTCGTCCAGCAGGGGCAGGTTGTTGGACAAGGCGCCGTCCATGTACCGAACACCGCGGATCTAAGGATTCAACAAGGATCGAGGGATTATAGGATCAGGAATGCCGCAGAGGATTAAGGGATCGCTACCAACCTGCGGCGGCATCAAACCCGACAGTCCGGGGATGAAGCAGGAGCACATCAGGGCCTGGAGCAGCTCCTCGCGTGAGCTAAACTCCGACATGACCACATTCTGGCGATCACTGACCCGCGTGAGAGATATGTGAAGCCGTCCATTCACCCGCTGATGGGCATCCGGCGGCAGGCGACGGTGCATCCCCTCGAGCAGGCACTCCGGCAGATTAAACCAGGGACTGAAGGCACCCAGCGAGTGGCGACGTGTCTCCTGGACGACCCGCAAAAAATCTCCAGCCATGCCCTCCAGCGGAAGATCGCAGATGAGGCAGCAGGCGGCCAGGGCTCCGGCGGAGGCGCCGGCAATCCGCTCCAGCAGCAATTGGGGGGCATGCTGGCGCAAGCAGACCGCGACGCCCACGTGGTAGATGCCCAGGAAGCCGCAGCCGGCGAACGAGAGGCTCCTCCGGGTCTTTATCTTCATGGTTTTCCTTTAGGTACCCTTCCTTGAAGCGCGAGAGCTTAGATATATTTCGGAAATATCCGATATTGCCTCGTATTTTTCGCCAATTTTCGCTGAGCTTTTCTTTTTTTTCGAAATATTTTTCCAAGTTTTCTTTTTTAAGCTTATTTTCTTTGAAATGGGGGTATGATGTGACCGTAGGCCAAGCGGAAAATGGTTTTAATCCAATAATATACCAATTACAACGGGATTTCAAAGTCCAGGAAATCGATTTCTTATCTCTCTGTCTATATATTTTTTTTTGTAATCTGTTGAAAAACAGGGTTCCTCTTAGATTTCTATGGTTTAAGGCTTAAGAGATTGGTGTTGAAGGTTTATGAATTAATATGATAGGTAATCCCAGGCTCTAAATTCCAAAACATGCATATTATAAGCTATTTTAATAAAATATTAGGTCTTTTTTTTAAATCTAAGCTTTTAATGATCTATCTTAATATATTCTAAAACAAGAATGGAAAGTACCTTCGGAAAGCCGAAGTTTATATACCCTTGCAGCTTGCAATCGAATTATAGGATCGAATCGGAAATAGATGCTTATTATTTATTAGATTTATAAACCTGCATACTTAATTTAAGTTTAAAAAATATTAAAAATTTTTATCAAATTTTCAAAATTTAAACGATGTAACCCCTTATAAAATTTAAAAAAATTTGGCTAAAATTTTTTCCACCGCAGATGACTAGATCGACTCGGCTTTTGATGCTGATCATGAATATATATGGTTTATAGGGTCGGAAATGATTCCTTCACTGTGTTACAAGCTTCTGATTAAAATTAAAACACCATTCTTTAAATTGATATTTAGTTGTATTTTTATATCCGAAATTTGTCTAAAAATCGAAGCTTTAATACCCTGGAAGCGTTTTTTTATATAAATTTGAAAATTATCCAGAAACCCGCCCATCGGTCGCTTACCAACACTGCCACAAGATGCCAAGGTGGCAACTCTGTGCCCAACAGATTCCCAGCTGGTTCGAGGGAGAAAGAGGAAGAGGAGGAAATATCACCTGGGGACGAACTTTCCACTCAAATTCAAATTTTGTAACTTCATTCCGATCCAAATTATTTGTCGTCACCTTTTGTTCGCTTCCCCCCCGAATGAGACAGGAATCACAATGTTGTTGAACTACACAAGGCTATCATCCCACGGCTGCACGACTCTCCGGGTCTCGCAAATCAGTCGGCTCGCAAAGACCCCGTTCACCCTGCCGCCACACAGCCCGTCATATAACCAGCACCTGGGCCGGTGCCTCCAGCGGCGCTACCAGAGCGTCACACTGCCATCCCGAGTGCCACCGTCCTCATCCAATCGGCCGCTCCTGTTCCTGCGCACACTCCGCGGCCTTCATCAGGGCAGCAGGCTGTCCAGAAAGCTGACATTGGCCGAGACATCGCTACCGCCGTCCAGAGAGATGGTCCGCTCCCAGTACGGCCGCCTGCTCGGCCTGACCAAGTCGGAGAAATGGGTGCTGTTAGGTGCGTCGTGTTGCCTTCATCGTGCCACCGCCACTGATTAATCCCAGTTTCATTCTCCATTTCAGCGGGCATTGCGTGTCTGGTGGTTTCCTCGGCCATTACCATGTCCGTGCCGATGTTCCTCGGCCTCACGATCGATGTTGTCTTCAAAAAAGGCGGAGAGGGCGTGGACAGCGCTGCACTGGCCAAACTGGGCGAGTACTCAATGCTGCTCTTTGGCATCTTCGTGCTTGGCGGCCTGGCCAACTTTGCCCGCGTCTATCTCTTCGGCAATGCGTGTAAGTAGGCATGTTGTGTGATAAGATTAGAGCCATGGGTAGACTCTGTCTCTGTCTTAATAGAAACTCTAAGTAACTTGAACAAATTATTCCAATCTTTAGCTCTGCGCATGGTGCGCCAACTGAGGTCGCGCGTCTACAAGTCCATGCTGATGCAGGAGACGGGCTGGTTCGATACCAAGGGCACGGGCGAACTGATCAACCGTCTGAGCAACGACACATACATGGTGGGCATCGCGCTCAGCCAGAACGTGTCCGATGGCCTGCGCTCCCTGGCCATGATCGGCGTCGGCTCGGCCATGATGGTGAGTTTGTAGTAGGTCCCACTGCCGAGCTGTAATCCTCATCGTCGTCACCCTAACGTAGTTATGATTGCTCCGATTTCTTGACAGATCTACACCTCGCCCCAGCTGGCGGCCATGAGTGCTCTGGTGGTGCCGGCCATGGCCGGGCTGGCCATTGTCTATGGACGTTACGTTAGACGCATCACCAGGATGGAGCTGGACATGTACGCGCAGATAATGAAGTATGCCGAAGAGCGATTTGGCAATATAAAGACGGTGAAGACATTTTGCCGGGAGCAGCAGGAGGCAGCTACTTACGACAGCAAACTGAACGATGCACTCAAGATTGGCTACAAGGAGACCCGGGCCAGATCCATCTTCTTCGGATTGGTGAGACTTTGACGAGAAATAAGAACGGCTTTGTAGTGAGTACTTATTTCCCCAACAGACCGGCTTCACGGGGAACTTCATCATCATCACGGTCCTGTACTACGGCGGCACCCTGGTCCTGGAAGGCTCTCTGACCATCGGCGCCCTGACCGCCTTCATGCTGTACGCCGGCTACGTTGCCATCTCAATGAACGGCCTGTCCAATTTCTACAGTCAGCTGAACAAGGGCATTGGCGCCTCAGAGCGCCTCTGGGAGATCCTCGATAGAGAGTGCACCATACCCATAGACAAGGGCATTGTGCCGCCGCACAAGCCCATCGGCAACGTGGGCTTCTCGGGCATCCACTTCACATTCCCATCGCGCCCGGACACACCCGTACTCCACGATTTCAATCTAAACCTCATGCCCGGCCGCACGACCGCGATCGTGGGTCGCTCTGGATCGGGCAAGACCACCATAGCCTTTCTCATGCTCCGACTGTACGATCCCCAGGAGGGCGTCATCACGGTGGATGGTATGGATCTGCGCGAGGTGAATCCTCAGTGGCTGCGCCACAGTATCGGTGCCGTAAACCAAGAGCCGGTTCTCTTCTCCGGCACCATACGCGATAACATCTTGTACGGCGTGAATCCCGGCGAAGAGTCAGTGGAGGAGAAGCTGCAGACAGCCGTCGCGGAGGCGCACGTTAGCGAATTCACTGACAATCTGCCCGATGGCCTCGAGACCGTTGTTGGTCAGCGCGGCATGATGCTCAGTGGCGGGCAGAAGCAGCGCGTAGCTATCGCGAGGGCGTTAATCAAGGTAAGTGGTTGTGGATTTTTCGGCTACAGTATATAAAATATAAATCCTTATATATGCCTTGCAGAATCCCACTATCCTGATCCTGGACGAAGCCACCAGCGCCCTGGACGCCGTCTCCGAGCAACTGGTGCAGAATGCCCTCGACAAACTCGTCCAGGGACGCACCGTACTGACAATTGCCCATCGGCTAAGCACCATCCGGAACGCGGATCAGATCGCCGTGCTCAGTGGCGGCAAGATCGTCGAGCTGGGCACCTACGACGAGCTGCTCGGTATTCACCAGGGCGTCTTCCGCGAACTGGTGGCCAGCCAGACCTTTGGCTCGTCCTAATGCGGTGGCATGGTTCTCTTAGGTTATATATACAATTCGCTGACTTTAGACCTTGGACGAGATCCACCGCTGGCTGGTGGTGGTGGGCTTTCTGTGTTTATAAATCAAACGTTTTAACTTATTTCGTACAACGCCGGCCTCCCAATCCTCCTGGCAAGGTGATTCATAAATCAACAGTTTTTAGTTTTGTACCAACTTTGTACAAAATCACAATAATACACCGACTCTCCCCATTGACCATTGTTAAATACTGAGTATATATTGTTGGTTGAAGACGAAGAGGAGCAGGTGAGCTAGAAAGTAAGTTTACCTTAAGTAGGTTACTCGAAATACAAAGAGCTTTATGTAATGGAAAATGAAACAATTTTCTTCTATTTTTCTCTCCATTATTACTTAATCCTTTTCTTTCAGGGGAAACTTGGCTTAGTTCACTGTTTCAAACATTTTATTATCATTATAGTTTTTCAAGCTCCTCTTGCTGGTCTCCAACATAGCGCTTCGTCTTAAATCTAAACAGGCACAAAAATAAATGCAATAATTCCTTCTCTATCTAGCTTCCAAATACGTCCTGTGCATACATATACATATATCCAGCTCGACACGGATCTTGGATCATGGATCATGGATCACGGAGCAGCGCCTACTTCATGGTGGGCATGGCCACGGCCGCCTGGGTGTGGGTCACGTCCGTCTCGCGCCACAGCTGGGTAACGGTCTTGGTCTGGGTATAGAACTTGATGCCCTGCTTGCCGTAGAAGTGATGGTCGCCGCGGAAAGAGCCGCGCGTGCCGGTGAAGGAGAACATGGGCAGGGGTACCGGAATGGGTACATTGACGCCCACCTGGCCGGCATCGATCTCGTTGACGAACTTGCGGGCAGCGGCGCCATTGGTGGTGAAGACGGCGGTGCCGTTGCCATAGGGATTGGCGTTAACAATGTCGATGGCAGCGTCCAAGGTGTCGGCCTTGAGGATCACCAGGACGGGGCCGAAGATTTCCTCGGTGTAGCACTTCATGCTGGGCGTGACGTCGCTCAGAATGGTGGGGCCCACAAAGTAGCCATCCTCGTAGCCGGGCACACTGATCTTGCGTCCGTCGAGGATGAGCTTAGCGCCCTCCTTCACGCCGGACTCGATCAGATCGTTGATGCGCTGGCGGGAGGCGGCGCTGATCACGGGTCCCACATCGGTGCCGGGCACATGGCCGGCGTTCACCTTCAGCTTCTGGGCACGGTCCACCAGATCGGGGATCCAGCCCTGGGCGTCGCCCACAAAGACGGCCGTGGACAGAGCCATGCACCGCTGACCGGCAGCACCGAAGGCGGCGCCGGCCAACTGGTTCAGCGTGTTCTCCTTGTTGGCATCGGCCAGAATAATGCCGTGGTTCTTGGCCCCCATGTTCGACTGCACTCGCTTGCCGTTCTTGCCGGCCCGCTCGTAGATGTACTTGCCGGCCTGGTCGGAGCCCACAAAGGACACGGCCTTGATCTCGGGCGCATCGCAAATGAAGTTGACGGCATCGTGCTGGCCATGGATGACGTTCACCACGCCGGGCGGGCACCCAGCCTCGTTCAGCAGCTCCATCAGCATCATTGTGGCGCCGGGCACGCGCTCCGAAGGCTTCAGCAGCATGGTGTTGCCGGTGGTAATGGCCACGGGGAACATCCACAGCGGAATCATGGCCGGGAAGTTGAAGGGAGCCACGCCGGCGGTGACACCGAGGGGCAAAACCAGCGAATAGGTGTCCATGTCGCGGGCAACATTCGCCACCGTCTCGCCCATCTGCAGCGATGGGATGCTGCAGCAGTGCTCCACCACCTGGAGGCCGCGCAGGACATCGCCCTCGGCATCGGCCAGGGTCTTGCCCTGCTCCTTGGTTATGTTCTTGGCCAGCTCGCCCATGTTCTCCTTGATCAGGGCCTGCAGCTTGAACATCACCTGCTGACGGGTCAGTATGGACTGATTGCTCCACGACCGGAAGGCCTTCTTGTTCGACTCCAGCGCCGTCTGCATCTCATCCTGGGTGGCCTTCGGCACGCGGGTCACCACCTTGTTGGTGGCCGGATCGTGCACATCGATCCACTCCTTCGTCTTGGACTCCACGAACTTGCCGTCGATGAAGAGCTTGGTGGTTGGAGCGGCGGAGGAGTACGTCCTCTTCGCCATCTGGCGGGCCTGGTGACGAAGAAAATGAACGAATTTTAAAAATGATTCAATTTGGTAACTAATACTACATAATATAATTATACTGCATAAATTTGAGCACCTTGGGTGGACCACATTTTAATTTTTTTTATCCTTCTTGCTTTCGTCACTAGCAGGAAGCAGAGATCACTCGTTTCCTTCGTCACTAGCCTGATCATTTTCGAGTCTTCGCTTAATTTGATGCACTTGACTTTCGTTTGCAATGCAAATTGGGGAATCCTAACCTCAACCCCCGTTCAGAGTGTGGGGTGGGGTGTTTTTTATATGCTTGATAAAAACAACAACACATATATAGGGGCGACACGCGGGGGGCGCCACGCCCACGCTTATCAGTGTTCATCTGGCAGACTTGCGTTTGGCTCGAGTGGAATTGTTTCGCCAACTGTTGCCTGTCCCGCTTATCTCGTTTTATTGAATTTTATGCCGCTAAATCCCCTCCCCCGGGGCAATTGTTTTTGTTTTCGCTTTATCTGCTCTCCTCTGGAACTTCTGCCTCTGCCTCTTCTCCTTGGTCCCGCAGGCCCCAGCGAAATTACGTAACATGTGTTGTTGTCAATTGGCAATTTCGTTTTCACGGCCACCGCTCTGCTCTTCATTAAGTCCATTGAAGAGTGAGAGTGATGGCAAATGCACTTGAAACCGCACACACACGTGCAACCAACTGTAAGCCTCGTCAAACCGTTAGGTTCGACTGGAACTCACCTCAGCGCCGATCAATCGCACAAGGGACATCTTGAGAATGGAGAAGGAGTCGGGTGGACAGTTGCCAGCAAGGAAGGATCGCTTCGGTTTGGAAATGGGGAATCGCGTGCTCTCCAAACGGAGGTTCCACTAGAACTGAACACAGCCGCCGCCTTCAGAAGTGCTGTTCCGCAGGGGGCCCGCGTATTTTTGCCATGTGTCGTGTGTGTGTGCAGTGCGGGCTGCGGTGGTGTGATTGTTGATATACGAGTGAAAAACTGGATGGAGGCGGAGACGGAGACGAAGACCACGTCAAAGTGTGCTTAACGATAGTAAATGGGATACGTACACACATCCGCACACCTTTAACGCCAGAACCTGGCGCACCAGCTGTTGTTCTTGGTACGTACATATTGTTGCTATTCTTGTTGCTGTTCGTTGGGGGCTCGTGGCATGCTTGTGTGCGTGAGCTTGTTTCGCGATGTTTGTCTTTCCATAGCGTTCTGCTCTCACGAAGAGTACGTCTGCTGGCGTGGAAAGAGAGTGATATTTTGAATTGGAAGTATGGGAACTTGTCACTGGAAAACATTAAACTAATATTAGCAACTCACGCAATGACTTTAAGTCGAACATCTAACTTGTCTGAAGCATCACTCACGAAATATTCCTATTTATCGATCAATGCAATATCTGAAAATATTCCAATTGGGAGTTTCATTTGTTTGAAAAGAGCAAACAATATTCGGTATTACGGCAAAAGTAAATCATTATTTATTGGGTATTTATAAACACTCACGGAGATACAAAATCAAATTGGTATTAGTGTATGCGAGTGTATTTTTCCATTAAGCGTTCACCTATACTGATAAACCTGCCAAGGCACGCGTGTCAGCCGGCATCAGTGTGGGTGAAATTTAATTTAATAAAGTTTACTCTTTCGAAGTGTGACCGCTTATTCGGTAGTTTTTCGGTATTTTTATTGGGGACATCTTGTGGTCATACTTTAGTAACCCGGTCTTTTTTGAAACTGAAGTCGCGTTTAACATTTCATGTTTGGGCTTTGAATAATATTTGTTATGAGTTTTTTAAGCTTTGGTTTCTGCAAAACATTGCTTTAAAAATATAGATAAATATTGAATCAAAAAAAATGCGAATAAATAGGGTATTATCATTTCAGTCTGAAGCTTAAAACATTGTGAAGGAGTCATTTCCGACCCTATAAACTAAATATATTCTTGATCAGCACAAACAGGCGAATCTTTCTGGGTACAAAAAAAGAAACACCTTTTTTGGCCATTTTTCAGAAATTTATGAGGGGTTACATCATTAAAATTAGCATAATTTGATAAAAATTAAAATTTTTGTACATTTTTAACTGAGTATGCAGATTTATAAACCTTTTCAAAACTAGCTCAGAACTGGCTTCCGTATCGAAATTGAGGCATTTTTGGCTAAGCTATGAATTTTTTAAGCTTTGGGTTTTACAAAAAATTGCCTTAAAAATATAGATAAATATTGAATCAAGAAATGCGAATAAATAGGATATTATCATTTCAGTCTGAAGCTTAAAACATTGTGAAGGAGTCATTTCCGACCCTATAAACTATATATATTCTTGATCAGCACAAACAGGCGAATCTTTCTGGGTACAAAAAAGGAAACACATTTTTTGGCCATTTTTTCAGAAAATTATAAGGGGTAACATCATTAAAATTTGCAAAAATTGAAAAAAATTAAAATTGTTCTACTTCTTTAACTGAGTATGCAGATTTATAAACCTTTTCAAAACTAGCTCAGAACTGGCTTCCGTATCGAAATTGAGGCATTTTTGGCTAAGCTATGAATTTTTTAAGCTTTGGGTTTTACAAAAAATTGCCTTAAAAATATAGATAAATAATGAATCAAGAAATGCGAATAAATAGGGTATTATCATTTCAGTCTGAAGCTTAAAACATTGTGAAGGAGTCATTTCCGACCCTATAAACCATATATATTCTTGATCAGCACAAACAGGCGAATCTTTCTGGGTACAAAAAAAGAAACACATTTTTTGGAAATTTTTTCAGAAAATTATAAGGGGTTACATCATTAAAATTAGCAAAATTTGATAAAAATTTAAATTTTTGTACATTTTTAACTGAGTATGCAGATTTATAAACCTTTTCAAAACTAGCTCAGAACTGGCTTCCGTATCGAAATTGAGGCATTTTTGGCTAAGCTCTGAATTTTTTAAGCTTTGGGTTTTACAAAAAATTGCCTTAAAAATATAGATCAATCAAGAAATGCGAATAAATAGGGTATTATCATTTCAGTCTAAAGCTTAAAACATTGTGAAGGAGTCATTTCCGACCCTATAAACTATATATATTCTTGATCAGCACAAACAGGCGAATCTTTCTGGGTACAAAAAAGGAAACACATTTTTTGGCCATTTTTTCAGAAAATTATAAGGGGTAACATCATTAAAATTTGCAAAAATTGAAAAAAATTAAAATTGTTCTACTTCTTTAACTGAGTATGCAGATTTATAAACCTTTTCAAAACTAGCTCAGAACTGGCTTCCGTATCGAAATTGAGGCATTTTTGGCTAAGCTATGAATTTTTTAAGCTTTGGGTTTTACAAAAAATTGCCTTAAAAATATAGATAAATAATGAATCAAGAAATGCGAATAAATAGGGTATTATCATTTCAGTCTGAAGCTTAAAACATTGTGAAGGAGTCATTTCCGACCCTATAAACTATATATATTCTTGATCAGCACAAACAGGCGAATCTTTCTGGTTACAAAAAAAGAAACACATTTTTTGGCCATTTTTTCAGAAAATTATAAGGGGTTACATCATTAAAATTAGCAAAATTTGATAAAAATTTAAATTTTTGTACATTTTTAACTGAGTATGCAGATTTATAAACCTTTTCGAAACTAGCTCAGAACTGGCTTCCGTATCGAAATTGAGGCATTTTTGGCTAAGCTATGAATTTTTTAAGCTTTGGGTGTTACAAAAAATTGTCTTAAAAATATGGATAAATATTGAGCACTTTTTAAATGGTTCCTATGCGTTGGCTCCTCCATATTTGGCCCTAAAAGTAGGCTCCAGCACATGGCCAAATATCCAATTGCATACTTTTGTTTACCTTTGCTCACATAGAATGGAATTTAATTAAGCTTTTCCCAATCATTAACGAGTGCTGCGATCGCTTCTGGTGCTGTGTGCTAGGAGCAAACATTGGGCCAACATTCTGCTTCATCTTGGATTAGGTCAGACCCAAACGAGGTCAAGACTCGTCCGGCATTGAACCGAGCACCGAAGTACCTGTTGCATTAAGTAATGTAAGCACACAACATGTGCCTCACCTGCTTCTCTGCTCCACCTGAGTGGAAACGTATAAAGGTGCGGCAGGCAGGTGAGGGTGGCTTAGACCGAGGCTAGACTATGGAGGCGAGTCAATGGATTATCTTCACCTGCGTTCTCCTGGGGACGATTTTCCTCGCCTTGGCTGGCAGCACAGATCCCCCGTTGGAGGAAAACAGCCTGCAGTTGAATCTGTTTCTGGAGGCAATCAATGAACTCGAACGCCAGCGAGTCCAGGAAAATGCAGCAGGATGGAGCCATAAACCGAACTCTGTTAAGCAGCGCCCCAATAGCAAGAAAATGAATTGGAATCGCAAGCGTAGTGGTTTTCCAGGGTCCAAAGGCCTGGAAAGTCGGTCATTTGCCGCCTATTCATCCTCCATTTCGGATCCACCCAATCCCGATTACATCAACGTAAAGGACTATGAACCCACACCTTCTCCATGGTGGTTCAACATTAATTAATTACTAAGATTTGGGGCAATTCTTTCTCCCTATTTTTTTGTTGTGTAAATATATACTTAAGTGGAGATTTTTGTATTTATATTTAATGACTCAAATCGCTCGATCCATTAGTTCTTGGGCTTTTTAAAAGAATCGAAAGTCTAGAAACCATCCTTAAATATAAAGGAAAAGCTAAACTGTTGATATATAAAAATGTAAATATTATATATAGAGTATACAAAGTTTGGCATGCCGGAGTTTGCTTTCTTTCTTGTCTATGATGTATTTTAGGGTTTCATAATAACAAACCCGATAATAAGCCGATGTATTCTACAAGAGCTAAAACCGGTTACGAACGAAACTTCAGAAATGAGCGTATATATTTTGTGGGCTCGTCCTTTGTTGTTGTTGTTGGTTTACCAACCTTTCTTTGTGTGCTTTTTGCCATTGTTTCAATTTGTTTGCTTTGATTCGATTCGATCTATTTCGATCCGATGGAGCAAAGTGGAATGTTAGGATTGATTGATTGATGGATGCATTGCATTGGTAGCAGTTTCATTCAGCCTTGCCTCTCTGGGCAGAGGGCGATCGCCAAAAAAAGGGGTGTGCTAGGTCACTCATTCACTTTATTCGAACAGCTTGCCGACGACTCGAATAGCTCGAATACCCCTTAATTGGGTTGGTTTAGCATTTCTAAAAGTAATATTAAACGTGAAATCATATTCGACCCTTTAAAGTATATATAGATTATTGGTCAGCATTAACATTCGATTCAATCTAGCTTCCTTTAAAGATAAAAATGAAATGCCTGAAGAAATGAACTCATTAAGGAAATAATGGGAACGCACAGCTTCCATCATGACTGTCCAGCTGATGAATTAAATGCTGGAAGCAAATTCATTGCGGCTCTAAATTCATTTAATTTTTTTCCAGCAATTCATTTGCAGCCTTGACACCGGGGCGTATGCGTAATCCCAAATTAAAAAAATCACACAGCAAAAAAAAAGAGGGAGGAGAAAAACAAAGCGGAACTTTTCGCTTACAGTTTCATACTTTTGCAATTGGCCAATTTGCGAATGCAGCTTTCGGCTGTCGTCAAAGGCAAAGGCAATCGGGAAGCAGAGCGTGGCCATCACAAGGCCGGTCGTTTAGCCCGGCTAAGACTCGGTTTTGGCCAAAACCTACCCATCCGTCTGGTGATTCCGGCGTAACACTTAGAACCACACTTAGGTCTCCGTTTAGCAGCAGTTGTTCAAACAGAAATTAGCTTCTATTCTGCGTTCTGTGTTCAGCTTCAGTTGATAATTAAACAAGTTGTTCTTGCTGCCGCCGCGCTTTCCCATCGCTAATATTTTAATTGGCCAAGACAAAGGCACAGTTTTTATGCATAATTAGAGACTTAGAATTCGGACTTGGAATAAAACACTAATTAGCCATTACACTTGAAAAGGCAGCGGGGAGTGTATCGTTTCGCCACGTTGGAGTGTTGGTGTGTTGGAGTGTTGGAGTGTTGGAGTGATCCATCGATGGCTGTGCTAACCCTGGACGAGTTCAGCCACTTCCTACACGCTTCGAAATCTGTAAGCTTTCCAATTTGAGACCTTGAACTTCAGTCCCACCTATCCACAGGGGGGTTGTGCCTGGAAATCGGTTCAATTTATATTTGAAATTCAGAGTTAATGAGTTAATCCCAAAAGTGTAATGATGCCTTTATACATATATCAGGAGAAGGAGAAGAAGGAAGCAACTGATTTAAATTGATTTTAATTGATAACTAATTGCGGCAAGGTAATGCCAAAGCTCGACACTGGACGACATGGCTGTGACGTTTCTGTGTTCGTTTTCGTTTTCATTTTCAATTTCAATTTCGCTTTCGTTTTCGCTTTCAATGTTGCATGGCATGGCAAAGTCTTTAGCCAGCTAATTGGCAGAAACAACAACTTTTCACCAGGAAATCAATAAGCGTCGGAGAAAAGCGAAAAGACAACGCACGCACAGCAAATATCGGACTCTAATTTCAGGTGTTTCTCAATCTTTCTGTCCCAAGAAAGTGAGACCCTGACCAGCGCAACGGGTGCAAACATAGCCCAATTTTAATTGTGCTAAAAGCCAAACAACACCTGGATTCTGGTTCCATTTCACACTCACCTGTGTATATAAGACCGCAGCATGTCACTTTCTCTGCTCACTCTGAAACCCGAAGGCGTTCCCATCATGAAGCGGTTCCTCCATCATATCCTTATCCTCATCCTGATGGGTTCCCTCGCGACAGCTGGGTCCCCGAATTACTATGACTGGGGGGACGATTCATCCAACGGAGACTCGGAATCGGGCGACTCCTTCCTGAGTCAAGGCAATGTTCAGCAGGATTACCTGAACGTAGGTGACTATGTCCGCCAGCCACCTCCATGGTGGTTCTAGATTCTCTCAATTTCCATATTCTAATCTATATTTCATTTCACAACTGACTGTTATGTTACTCTTATGTTATTTATATTCTATTTAATAAACACCACCCCATACTCTTATGATTATTCCGATTATTGTTCAAGTTCTTGGTATATTTCTTATTCAAATGAATGTTGTGAATGTTGTTCTCTCGAAATCTTGACCAACTCCTTTGGTCTGTAATTTATACGTCTTACTCCAAGGCAACTTTAAAGCATTTTCCAGTAAGTAAGCCAGTTGGATTATCTCGGAATCAACGCACTTGTTGGAACATTCAGCTAATGGAAATGTTTCGCCTTGCATTATGGTCAGTTTATTGATTATCAATCGATTACCACATTGAGCCGCTAAAAGAGCCAGACAAAAATGGTGCTTACGATGGCTTAAGATAAGTCATAAATTTCGAAGGCAGCCCGCTGATTAATGCGAAATTACTTATCCCCCACAAGCGATCTTTTATCCGCACCATTTGCTTAAAGCGGCATTTTCCACAACTGCCTCCGCTTTTCCTCTTGCGTGACAAGTGCGCCGCAATTGCGGCCAAATTGATGTCTGTGGCAACATTTTGAATGCAACCTGAAAGAGTTACACGGAAAAGTAGCTGCAGCATGATTTATTTACTTAATGTTGCTATTGAAAAGAGATCATGATGCACTGGCAAAAACGAAATGTGACTACCAATACCAATTATATGTATGGATCTGTGATTTAAGATCTCACATCTCAGAGATAGCAACATTTCAGCGCACTATCCATTGTATTTGAAATTGAAATAGTAAACTACAATTCATTTTTGTAAATAATCTGCAGTGCATCCGCTAAGAGGACCCACCCGAGCCGTGATAGTGAGCAGGAAATCTTTGTGGCCCCGCCGATTTTGGCCAATTGAAATAAATCCGGCCAACGGTCAGGGCCATGGACATTGAACTTGAAACCGAATTGAAAGAAACGAACGGAAAACTGAGCTTGAGCAACAGGTTTCCCACTGGCCGGGCCAAAAAAGCGAACCCCCCGAACGGAGGATGGTCGTCTCTGACCAAAAGCGGATGCCTGGAAAAACTGTCTGGAAAAACAAAAAATCAAGGAGGAAAAACGGGCAATGTCAGCGCAGCTCGTTGCGGTTTATTTTCCGCCCAAATCAACCGATCCGATAATGCCACTAATGTCTCGCTAGCAGGTTGCATTGCATAATTGCAATTATGCCAAAGAGTGCGGATCCGATCCGATCCGATCCGAGGAGTCTTTTGGCCACTTAGCGTCATTTGATAATGTTGTTTTGTTTCGCTTTTCGTTGGCTGGAAAAACTCGTTTTAATTATTGGGAAAAGCAATGCGTATAAATCAAAATAAACAAACAAGAAAGAGTCGAATTTGTACACCCTCGCTGATAGCATTTCTTTTATTCCTGGTATAGGGGTTAGGTCTCAATACCATCTTCTACACAAAACCTCTCTGTCTATATCCTTGATGATTTCCAGGACTTTTATAAGGATAGTGCTGTAATGTTCCTCTGGGTTGAATAGTTGGGTTATTTCTTATAAGAGTATATATGCAAGAGTGTAACAAGAGGAAATCTAAAACTTATTAGACATCCCACGACAAGCTGCAGACAACAAAAACTAAAACATAAATTAAAACACAAAACGAGTCAATTCAATTTAAATGATAGGTTCAACGGCTGCTATTGCTGTTGCTGTTGTTGCTGTTGCTGCTTTTGTTGCTGACTTTGTTGCTGCTGCTGTTGCTGTTGCTGCTGCTGCTGTTGTTGCTGCTGTTGCTGCTGTTGTTGCTGTTGCTGTTGCTGATGCTGTTGCTGTTGCTGCTGTTGTTGCTGTTGCTGTTGCTGTTGCTGTTGCTGCTTCTGCTGTTGTTGCTGCTGTTGCTGCTGTTGTTGCTGTTGCTGTTGCTGTTGCTGTTGCTGCTGTTGTTGCTGTTGCTGCTGTTGTTGCTGTTGCTGTTGCTGTTGCTGTTGCTGCTGCTGCTGCTGCTGCTGCTGTTGCTGTTGCTGCTGCTGTTACTGCTCCTAATGTTGCTGTTGCTGCTGCTGCTGGAGATCGCATCATTAATAGCATCCAGTTATGCAACACTCAACACCAACTCGCACCGCACACACAATTAATTAATTAATAAAACGCACTGGTTGTTTAAATGCGTGGCTTTTTATGGTCCGATCCGTCGATCGCAATAAATTCAGGCAGCATTACCTGTAGTTATGTGGAGCATATTTCGTGTGCTGCGTGTCTGTGAGGATTTATTTCGACTTCTTCTGATTTCAGTGCAATTATGTTTGTTTCTCTACCAACTGTGGGTGAGCTGTTGAGACTTAGAATGCGGCCAAGGGATCAAGTTGAACCACTTTTCTGCATTGCCACTAAATTAGCATCGTACTAAGTTACAAATTAAGAGCTAAAAATGTCATAAAATTTACCTGATTTTGCAATTAATGTCAGGCGAATTAATGAGTATTGGAATGCCTTAAATGTATAGCAGAATAATGAAATCATTTCTTTATTATTTCTTTATTCTTTATTGCGGTGTATGTATTTTGTTTTGCTAATAAGTATATATATTATATGTACAACATTTTAATTGTAATTCTTCCAAGTGTACACCAGTCTTTAGGTGTTTAGGATTAATGCAAACCACTTCATCAGTGGAGGTCGTAAACACATTGCAGCCCACTTTGCATTACTTCATTATGCGATATTCTGGTTTTATGTTTTCCTTACTTTTCGGCTGACCATAAATACACATAGATTGGCCCAAGAGTCTTGCGGACGCCTACGGGGGACTGAGTTTTCAGTTTTCGCATTCGGTTGCACTTTTCAGATCTTGCGGCGATGGCCATTAGAGCAGAGCATTCATTACGCACAACGCCACTCAAAGGGGATGCCCTAAAAGCCAGGTGAGAAGAAGACAAGTGACGGCTCAGGACCACAAGTTGCAAGTTGTTGCAGTTTCTGCAACCGCGATACAGTGATACCTTCTTCTTATGCAACCTGGTTGTATCTGAAGTCACTGCAATGCCTCACAGACCCAACTCATAATTGGTGGAAGCCAAATACTTGACCCTCAACAAATTGTGAATCATCGAAAGCGTTCAATCGAAAGCCAAAACTAAAGGCAATTCAATCGAAAACTAGCTCGAGTCGTGGTTGCTTTTAATGTGATTACTGAATGCTCTTTTAAACGGTGTGTAATAGTTTATGTATTATAATGTATTCTTAATTTCCATGTCCTGAGTAAGGGATATTTCCATATTCTTGACTGAAGAACATATTTTTCAGCTTGATACTTTCAACATATTTGAAAGAATACATCAATACACATCTCCGTAGTTTATATTGTTTACTATATTACTTATCACTTAATCGTATGACACTTTATACTTGAAGTTTTTGTTTCAATTAATTTGTAACTATATTAACTGAACCCAATACCCTTTTCAAAAGAATATTGAACAATATTTACCTGTTTATTACCGGCGAAAGGTGTGTTGGCTATGATTCAGTGCTATGATTGTTAAACGGAACTCAGAGGCGGCCGCCTAAAAATGCGTAAAATCAATCATGGAAGACAAAAGCCCCCCCGAAATGCTCCATGGGAACTATCTACTACCAACTACCAACTACCAACTAGATACCAATATGGCCCAAAGAAACACTCGACTCGATCTGTGTCCAGCCGAAGTTCGAGTGCCGAGGAGGCGACGCCTTCGCTGGCCTGTCTTCGACTTCGTCGTCGTCTCGGACTTGGTCTTCGGAGCAAAAAAACCTCATATAAAACGTGGCCGACATAATGTGGCCAACAGTCGTAAGCGCGCCACGGTCCACAGAAGAGGATAAACAATAGATAATATAAATATTAGTACGGATTAGTTTCTTTTTTTTTTTTGCTGTTCTGTTGCCTTGCAATACATATCCTTGAATCGGTTCCCCCCCCAAGTGTCTGTGTTGGCCAAGTTGTTGTCTGTAGTAGTTGCCCCGAGAAGTGTGCCATGATGTTGTTGCAGAACAACGGAGGTATCCTGCCGCTGATCCTGCTGACGCTGTCCGCGTCTCCTTCGTGGGCCGCCTACAAGCTGCAGGAGAGGTACAGCTGGAACCAGCTGGACTTTGCCTTCCCGAACTCCAGGCTCAAGGAGCAGGCCCTGGCCAGCGGCGACTACATCCCCCAGAATGGACTGCCCGTCGGCGTCGAGCACTTTGGCAACCGGCTCTTTGTCACCGTTCCCCGCTGGCGAGATGGTAAGTTAATTTGGCCAAATCCATGCCTGAACATGCAGATTGCTATGGCAACATATCGAAAGTCTTTTGGGCATCATTAGCACCTGCTGCTAATTGGGTGCGGAATTGAGGTGATTGGGCAATTGCAGTCACTCCGTTTATATGGTCTGATTGACTAATCTCTGGTTGCTAAACAATTGAGGAGCAAGCCAGAGATTGGTGTCTTAAATTGTGTAAACAATTCTCTAAAGATTTGTACACATATATCTATCATTTGAAATAGAGTTGCAAGTCTTTTGGTTTATCTAACAACTAATGGGGTTTCATAGGAAAAAAACGAATTCACTTCCGGCTTCCAAAGAACCTTGCTTGGAAAATGTGTCAAACTTTTGCCTTTTTGATGGGCATGACAGGGTCAGGTCGGACCCCCGAGTTGACCTCTCATAAATCCGGTGCGCATTCAGGTGTTGCATTTACATTTCTGAAACAATTAACCGTTGTAACGTGGACTCGGCATTGGCATTATATATTATATGGTATTATATGACGACCATCCGAGGCAGTGTGTATTATTCGATTCGTCTGGTGAAGGCTTCTTCAGGGTCGCCTTGGCGTTACACAAATGGAAATGGAAATCCAATCACAGACAATAGCATATTATATGGCATTATGCCATTAACCCATGATTAGCTTTCAGTTGAATCGAAGTGAGAGTTGCACAAAACCGCTGTCCAAACAGATTCGATGTTATTGTGGAACAAATTTACAGATTTGCAAAGATTTATTTTTAGCAATATTCAATACTAAGGGAGCAGAGCAGAGTTCCAGAAGCTTAGCAATGAAATCAATCGAATTGGGTAATGCTTTCAATATTGAATCAAATTCAAAGCAATTATTCAGTCCCTAACTTCTGACATATTCGATTCGATGTTATTGTGGAACAAATTTACAGATTTGCAAAGATTTATTTTTAGCAATATTCAATACTAAGGGAGCAGAGCAGAGTTCCAGAAGCTTAGCAATGAAATCAATCGAATTGGGTAATGCTTTCAATATTGAATCAAATTCAAAGCAATTATTCAGTCCCTAACTTCTGACATAGCCTTGGGGTTGAGAATGCCAAGTAAATGATTTTTCGAATATCCGCAAAAGACTAGAAGGCCAAAATAAGGCAAGCAAGCAAACAAAAAAGGCCCAAATAAAGACCAAAAGTACGTGAAAGTTGCGGCAAAGGCAAAGGCTTAATGCTTGAATGGCCATCAAAGCAAATCAATTAGTTTGAGCAAATCTGCGGTGGCAAGACAGCACAATAACCGAACAGGTAGACAACACCTGCAGTTGACATTAACGAGTTATGATTTATGCCTCATTATGCAAATCCGTTTGGCCAAGAAGGGCGGCTGAAATCAGACAGATATTGCTACAGATATCGATATCTGTTCTCACATTCCTAATGAGCTATGCGACAGGATTACAAATTGAAATCGAGTCTGGGACGGTTACATGCCATGAGTCAAACGTGTAATTGAAATTGAAATGAGAATGCGAAATTGAAACTGAAACTGAAACTGAAACAGAGAACCGGAGAATTGGCAACATTAATTGGCTGGATAATAACGAGCTCGGAGTTTCAAGACAACTCCGTATTTCATATAAATTCATTAAGTTCCCAGACAGCCTCCCAGTCTCCGGTCATTTGGCCATTCAGTCATTTAGCCACTTGAGCCACTGAGCCACTTGAGCCACTGAGCCACAAAGTGGACACAAACATTAGCCACACGATGTGTGGCCCATTCCAAGTCCAAATCCAAGTCCAACTCCAAGTCACAGGCTCAATCTCCATCACAAATGAGTTTGCAAAAAGTGACTGACTTTTGAGGGCGGAAACTCGGAATCTGGAATCTGATTTACACAGATTAGCTTTACAAAGTTGGCAGGCAGCACAAAAAATCAAAAAATAAAGATATAAAGAATCAATTAAGAGCACTGTTATTATTTATTATTATTTATTGAGCAATTATCAAGATAAAATGATATTTCATAGTCTTCAGTAGAAGATCTTCTAATTAATTTATGGTGTGTATCTGTATGTACAAGAGACATTGAAAGATTTAAGCTAGTATTACTTGTGACTAATCGTTCATGGTTTTTCATGTGAATAACTGGCTTGGGAAATCCCCGTTCCATTTTCCACACAGATTTGCTAAGCTTTACACAAATTGAAAGGTGTTGATGGGGCGGAAAAATCGCTGTCGCCTCTATTTTATCGATGATGATGAATGGGGAGTTTCCGGAATGAGGAGGGAGTTGCTCAGGGGCGTGGCAATGCCGCCCGCTACCAGAAAACCAGAAACATATGGCTGGAAATTGGCCAAGAGAGACGGAGACAAGGTGGCTCCGACGAGGAGCAATTGGAGCGGAAATCATCGTCGACTGACACTGTATTGATGGTGATGTCAGAGCTCCTTAGTGCGTTGCCTCAGCTGCTTCAATGCGGGGCCTAATGACATCGGAAATTGCACGCAATTTGAACACAAACTGCCAACTGCAATCTGCACCAAATGTGGCTTAATCCTCACATAAACACATTTGGCCAAAAGCAGCTACTTAACCAAATACAGAACTTCCAGAATTTTGACACATTTTTACCAGTGATTAATTTCCATTTCAAGTTCCGCTTAACCAAGTTAAATTTATGATGAAGTAATGAGCATTTTATGACTTGGTTTAAAAGGTTTTGAATGAGCTTAGGGATATTAATAAGTTAAGCTTTAATTATATGAGATTTTATAATTTCAACAGGCATTCCGGCCACTCTGACCTATATCAATATGGACCACAGCCTCACTGGCTCACCGGAACTGATTCCGTATCCGGATTGGCGGGCAAACACGGCCGGAGATTGCGCGAATAGCATCACCACGGCATATCGCATCAAGGTGGACGAGTGCGGACGTCTTTGGGTGCTGGACACCGGCACCGTGGGCATTGGGAACACCACCAGGAACCCCTGTCCGTACGCGGTGAATGTCTTTGACCTGACCACGGACACTCGCATCCGGCGCTACGAGCTGCCGGCAGTGGACACCAATCCGAACACATTCATAGCCAACATTGCGGTGGACATTGGCAAGAACTGCGATGATGCCTATGCCTATTTTGCGGACGAGCTGGGCTACGGATTGATTGCGTATTCCTGGGAGCTGAACAAGTCCTGGCGCTTCTCGGCGCACTCGTACTTCTTCCCGGATCCCCTGCGGGGTGACTTCAACATCGCCGGCATCAACTTCCAGTGGGGCGAGGAGGGCATCTTCGGGATGTCCCTGTCCCCCATCCGGTCGGATGGGTTCAGGACGCTGTACTTCAGCCCCCTGGCCAGCCACCGGCAGTTCGCCGTCTCCACGAGGATCCTGCGGGACGAGACCCGCACGGAGGACAGCTACCACGACTTTGTGGCCCTGGATGAGCGCGGTCCGAACGCCCACACCACGTCCCGGGTGATGAGCGACGACGGGGTGGAGCTGTTCAACTTGATCGACCAGAATGCCGTCGGATGCTGGCACTCCTCGATGCCGTACTCGCCGCAGTTCCACGGCATCGTGGACCGGGACGACGTCGGTCTGGTCTTCCCCGCCGACGTCAAGATCGATGAGAACAAGAACGTGTGGGTCCTCTCGGATCGGATGCCCGTCTTCCTGCTCTCCGACCTGGACTATGCGGACACCAACTTCCGGATCTACACAGCCCCGCTGGCAACGCTCGTGGAGAACACCGTTTGCGATCTAAGGAACAATGCCTACGGACCCCCAAATACGGTTTCCATTCCGAAGCAGCCTGCTCTGCCGATTGGTCCTCCCCTGTACACCAAACAGTATCGTCCTGCCCTGCCCCTGAAGCCTCAGACGAGCTGGGGACCATCACCTCCTCCTCCGATTCCGCCCAGTCGCACCTACTTGCCGGCCAATCCGGGACCAGTCTCCAGCGTTAGCGTCTCCACGAACACCGTGGGCCCGGCCGGAGTGGAGGTGCCCAAGGCGTACATCTTCAACCAGCACAATGGCATCAACTACGAGACCAGTGGCCCCCACCTCTTCCCCACCCACCAGCCCATGTCTCCTGTCCAGGATGGTGGCCTAAAGACCTACGTCAATGCCCGCCAGTCCGGCTGGTGGCACCACCAGCATCAGGGTTAGGTCAGCGGATCACGGATCACGGATCACGGATCGCAAATCCCAGACAAAAACCGGATACGGGACACAACACAGCACACTTCATTCACACTCGCTTCTTCTAGGATAGATTTAAAGACCGGAAAGGGAAAGGGATGTGAGAGCCACGAGAAGGATCAGCATCATCATCAGCAGCACCAGGAAGCAAGGAGGATATTTAATAGATTCACAGATGAGGAGAATGTTACCTAGTTATTCGTTATTTAAACAAGAAATAAAACGAGCTTTTTTTTGAAACCTAAATTAAGTGGCCGAGTGGTTTTTCATTTTATTATTTAAGTTGGAATAAAGAGCAAAATGTTAATACATCCAATTAAAACAGAGCTTCATTGAGTTTAAACTGTTGATAAATATCGGCTCTAAGAATGCTATTAGAATTTTAGTCAGAAGCTTGAATCGTATTCTTATCAGAACAAACAGGCGAATCTTTCTTGACATGAGGGAGACCCACACATTTTTTTCCACCAATTTATCCTTATTGAAGGCCATCAAATCTGTTCTGTGAAAAGCACCGCTGATGGGAACCACGCCAAACACCAAACATTTCTCAAAAACATTGGACAGAAAAGTCACGATCGTCAAGAGATGTAGCCAAAAAGATAATATCAGTATTGTGGGCCGGAATTTGAACCCTCTTTTCTAAGTTCAAGTACAAAATCACAATAATGTTTAAAAAGCATAAATTACACAATAAATACCCAAACTAAGGGAAAGCTTAGTTATGCGTTTTTTAAGCTTTGGCTTATACAAAAAATTGTCTTCAAAATATAAATAAATATTTACAAAAAATTAGAATAAACAAGGTATTATCATTTCAGTCTGAAGCTTAAAACATTGTGAAGGAGTCATTTCCGACCCTATAAACTATATTTATTCTTGATCAGCATAAACAGGCGAATCTTTCTGGGTACAAAAAAAGAAACACATTTTTTGGTCATTTTTTCAGAAAATTACATCATTAAAATTAGCAAAATTTGATAAAAATTTAAATTTTTGTACATTTTTAACTGAGTATGCAGATTTATAAACCTTTTCAAAACTAGCTCAGAACTGGCTTCCGTATCGAAATTGAGGCATTTTTGGCTAAGCTATGAATTTTTTAAGCTTTGGGTTTTACTAAAAATTGCCTTAAAAATATAGATAAATATTGAATCAAGAAATGCGAATAAATAGGGTATTATCATTTCAGTCTGAAGCTTAAAACATTGTGATGGGGTAATTTCCTTAAGATAAATCTGGCATACATGGCGTATACTTAACGTAAATCCCTTAAATTAAGTATACGCCATGTGTGCCGGAAGGGAGAAAAGTTTACAAATTTATACAAAGTGCAAACTTTATCTGAAACTAGATATATGTTAAAAAGTAGAAAAAAATATAATTTGTATTATAAAACTTTCTTTATAAGATCAGCAGTGTCCTTAAACTCAACTCGCTCACCCTTGGGATTGGAATAGACTCTTTTCATCCCTTCATATTTTGGTCCTTGGCGGTTGTGGAATCCTTTTGGCTCTTGGTTGTTTTGGAATCGATTCTTCTCTCTGCACTCCTTTAGCTGTCTTATTCGCAAGATTATCCAGATCAGCTTTGAATCGATATATTTGTTTATTTGTTTATCTATTCCTCCAATTAAAGGGATACTTGGAGACCCCTCTATCACCTTGGTATCTATTAGTTCAATATAATGAGATCCTTTTATTTTTATATTTATATTTAACTTTCCTGCGGTAATCAGTAAACACAATTTCCATTTCCATGGCATACTTTCAACGGCGCTGTATACTTTCAGGCTAAATGATAATGGCCAAAATGCGATTGGAAACCCGTTTTCCCCCAATTGGAACCCCTTGGCATGCAAATGCTCTCGATTCTTCGCTTTTGAGAGACCAAAAATTGTACATATTTTATAATTACAAGTGTGGCTCACACTGTGGATCTCGGTGGATCTCCCGAAAAACCAACAAAACCAGCAGCGATTATTCATGTGGCCAAGGGAGAGAAAAGCCTCCACCCAGGCGATGATTTATGCCTTTCTTCGGGGGCGTGGCATTATCCATTCGGCAGTGGGCAGAGGGCGAAACTTTCAGAAAACAAACATAAGAGTTGGAATTTATTTACTTAGTGATTACGAACGGAGGGAGGGACATGCAGACGGTGTCCCGTCTCTCCGTGCGAAACACTTAACGCCAAAAGTGAGCAAAACAACACTTGCTCTATTAACACGCCAGACGGTGGATCTGAACCTGGTCCTGGACCTGGAACCTGGGGAATCGTGAATGGAGAAGGAATGGGCTCCCTAGCACCGACTACCGACTACCGACTACCGACAGCCTGAAATTTATTGGGAAACATTAAGGCAGTCCAGTCCCGTCGACTGTCGGCTTAACGAGAAACGAGATGTGGCTGAAATGGGGTGAGGAGGGCCCAGACCAGGCATCGGGCATCGGGTTATAAATACGTGTGGCTAATTTGCGGTTCAGCGCCGCATGATTTACATAGCCAAAAAATAAAGCCAAGCGATCCAGCTTCCATGCAAATTATAGAAATTTCTCTCTGATCGTGCGCGGCTTCAGACCAAAACAAAACAAATATTGGTTTAAGCCTTGCCCTGCCCTTTTTTTATATCAAAATTCACATATTTATACTCTTCTGCAGGGTATTATAAATAAAGAAGCAAATACATAACAAATAAATAAATTTAATAAACTATACGATTTATAAGAAACTAACCTGGCTTATAATATACATATAAATAAAGCCTTTTTATAACCTTGCAGGATATTATAAATTAAGTCAGGGGACCCTGTAAACCATATATATCAGGCTAATCTTTCTATTTGCCATCAAAATCTTAATGAATAAATAATAAAACATGTGAAAAAATAAATTCGATTCACCTTCAACCTTATAAACTATATATATTCATGATCAATTTTATTAACCTATTAAAAATGAACCTAGAAAAAAGTTTCCGAATTAAAATTAATACATTTTTCGCATACATTTTTCCAATAAAAAGTTCGCTTTAAATATTGTAAACTTAGTTAATAACTGTAAGGGTATATAGGCTTTGTTATGCCAAAGCTAGCTTCCTTTCTTGTATCTTTTTTTATGTTTTTGTTCTGCGGCAGGACTATATCATTAGTTGAGAGTAAGGGCAAAAGGCAATTTGAGTTATTCAAATGCCATAAATCCGCTCTGTTTGGGGCCCAAAAACGAGCTGCTAATTTTATGTTAGACGCCCTTAATTTCACGCTGCCATTTGTGGCTTCCGTTTCGCATGAGTTTAAGACATTCGGGATTTGCATTTGCATTTGCATTCCAATTAGGTAAAGTGATGAATTCGTTGCCTCGGACATCCTGCGGTTATCCTTCCTTCCTTTCCGTTGATGATGATGATGATGATGACACTGATAGTGGCTGATGAATTTAATTGAAGGCGCCAAATAAGCTGAAAATAAGTGTAAAAGATTTCTAGTTCGGAGGCACCACCGCTGTGCCATCTCCAGGACTCAAGCTGCGTCCTGTTCCCTGTGCCTGCAAATTCCAAGTTCGTTGCCTAAGTCTTTCGTTTTGCCGCCACTGAAAATGTGTTTTTACAGCCGAACTCTCCACGAATCCAATCCTTTGCTTTGATTTCAATTAAAGTCCCAGCAAATCAAGAGTTTTATGCCTATTAATCAATGGAGTAATTGATTCCAAGGTGCAGGAGCTCGAAGCAAGGCCACAGGAAGGCGTGAAATGCATTCTCTAGGGGACCTAGGTTATAAAAGCAGTTTCAGTAGACCCTGTTAATAGGTAACCACTGCTTTTGGCCATGAAATGATGTTAATTAAACACAATCCGCGGAGAAATCTCGACTGGGAGCAAAGGGAAAGTGCAATTTAATCGCTCAATTTGCGAACGCTGCCTCATTTAATGTGGCTGCAATTGAAGTTTTCATTTAAAACCCAATATCAGGGAGGAGGAGGAAGGAGCCAGCTTGGACTGATACCCTTCTTGCTTGGTGGCAAGGTCGTCGTTAAATAACCTGAGATACAGAGCGATAGCCAGCGTGTAGCGTGTAGCCGCACAAAAAGATACATTTGTATCTGCAGGTAGATCCTGGCCATCCGCAGCTGGTACCTTGGGAAACTCGACTAATGCACTTGCCGATGCCGCTCTCCAATCTAATCGTTTGCCAAATATCAAACGAGTTTCATTCATGAAGTTGAGACCGGAGCAGGAGCAGGAGGAGGAGTCCCCGGATAAGGTCTCATCGACAGAGAGAGAGTCCACATTCGTGTCCGGCGATAAGTCCGGTTCCTCGTAGATTAGTTCTGGGTTTCGGTTTCTATCCAGGTCCCAGTACCTTTGGTTTTTCTTTTTTATTATTTCATTTCCGATATGACAAACACGCGTGAAGAGCGTCAAGCGTTTGTCGTTCCATTATCGCCATGGTTTAATTAAAAGGTTATTCTTGTATGTCGCCAGTTGCGCAGGATAACGCGATTGAGCTGTCTCCTCGCTCCTCACTCCTCCTCCTCTGTAATCTTAAAGACTTTCTGGCTCGACCTTGCCTCGAACCTCTTTTGGATTGGGCATTGGAAACAACAATCGAAGAAAATCGAAGCCAGCAAAACTGAAAGTCAACCGCAAAAAGGACTTTGCCTGTATCTGTGCACGCACACAACCGCAGATATCTTTTCTCTCCCTTTTGCCAGGTGAGAATCGACAAATTTCCATTTCGTCAATTCAATCAATAAAGCTAAAGCAGCACTCCAGCAGCAACACCTCGAAAAAAAGAGGCTAAATAATAATCATACAAAACAGAAAAAAGAAGCGAAAATAATATACATATAATATCTGAGAGCGGGGAGCAAACCGCCGCCAAGGCCGCTCGAAAACCGCTTTCAATTAAATTGGGGCACACTTTTGCCTGCGGTCTCCATCCTCATCATCATCGTCATCATCATCATCGACGTCATCATCATAAGCAACTGCTGTCCCCAGCTCCTGTTTTTTTTCTGCCTCAGGAGTGAAAATGAAATTTTTCGCTGCCCCAGGCACTTGTCCCAGGGCCAGCTCATCATCATTCTCCTCCCAGCATCCCAGCATCCCAACATCCCCAGCATCCCATCAGCGGAACCAGAAATGCTCAAGAAACTGGAATTTTCAAGCATCCTACAAAATATTTAATATCTAGAAAAAGACCTTTTCGCTGAAGTTCTATTTGAAA